CACACACACACACACACATAAAGCACAACTCTCACCAAAATCAACCCTGGAACTAGCCAAACAGCTCTTCTAAATCCAAGACTAAAGAAAGATCCACACAGAATCTGGTATGAAGGGAGAAGTGATCTGGTCAGGACCCATATCCCTGACAGGGGACAAAGAAGAACAGGGGATATCACAGGCTCAAAGTTCCTCTCTGGGGAGCAAGAGGCTTGAGCCACATATTAAGCATGTCAGTCCTGGGCCCCAGCACTGGGAAGATGAGCCCCTTAGCTGGTTTGAAAACCAGAGAGTCTTACCAGACAACTATAAGAAACTGAGACCTAACTCTTGGAGAGCATGTGCACAGAATTCCTTACTCTCAGTCCCAGAAAGAGCAGCAGATTGAAAACTGACTGGGACTATGGCTTGGTCTTACCAAGACTGCTCAGCATGCACCTCAGCCCAGACCAGGCTTCTGTTCCAGCCGTCTTACTCTGGCACTGTTCCCCACTAATTTGGAGGCTACTTGAGAGTGCATACATTTGGAGGAAATGGAGCCAGCTCAGACCTCAAAACTGCCTCTGACCAAAGCAGAGGCAATCATCACCGAGTCACACATTGCTGCTCACACTCTGGAGGGAATGAAACTAGCTCCAGGATGGGGACCGCCACTGCCAGAGCAAGCGTCCTTGTACCTACCTGGGAGGGGGTGGGGATCGCTCATGGGGCACCAACCTCTCCGTCCCTGATCAAGCCTCTAACCAAGTTGCACCCACGCTGGGAAAAAAGTGAAACCAGCACAGAAGTGTAGCTGCAAGTCTTCAGGCCCTGGCCAAGTCCCAAGCCATGGCAGAGACTTCTGTCATACCTGGGAGAAACTGAGCTCTATCAGCAATACTGTTACAGCCCCTCAGTTCTTATCTACGCCCTCAATAGGGCAGTGATGCCCAGTGAGCATAGGAGAAACCATGGCTTGCACCTGGCTGCGGCTTTTGCCTTTCAGCTCTAACCCTACAACCCACCAAGGTGGTGGCTGCCAGCACACCCCAGCAGGAGGCACAGTCCATACTCACTTCAGATCCAGCTCTCCCACCAAAGCTGAAGTACACAGTCTACATAGGGACACTCCCACACAAGGATATGTCTAGAAGACTGGGAAGGTGACTGACCTAATTTCATACAGATAGAAAAAGCTAAACAACATGAGAACAACAGGCACATATCTCAAACAAAGGAACAGGGAAAAACCCTTCAAAAAGTCCTTAATAAACCAGAGATAAATGATTTTCCTGATAACAAATACAAGATTAGTAATAAGAATACTAACTGAGCTAGAGAAAAAAATAAACACAGTGAGAATTTTAATAAGGAACTAGAAAAAAAATTAAACAATCAGAGCTGAATAATACAATAACTGAAATGAAAAATACCCTGGAAGGAATTAATGGAAGACTGAGTAATACAGAAAGACGTATAAGAAATCTGGAAGATAGAAAATGGAAATCACCCCATCAGGACAGCAAAAAGAAAAACAACTTTTTAAAAAATGAGAATAGTTTAAGACCTCTGGAACAACATCAAGCATACTAACATTCACCTTACAAGGGATCCAGAAGGAGAAGAGACAGAGAAAAGGGTAGAAAATGAATCTGATGAAATTATGACTGAAAACACCTCAAACCTAAAGAAGGAAACAGATATCTAGTTACGGAAGGTAGAGGGAGTCACAAACAAGATGAACTTAAAGAGACTGACACCAAGACATGTAATTAAAATAGCAAAAGATAAAGAGAGAATCACCAAGGCAGCAAGAGGAAAACAAAAAGTACATGTAAGGGAACCCCCATAAGGCTATCAGCTGATTTTCCAGCGGAAACTTTGCAATTAAAGTTTTTGTATTTAAAGTGCTGAAAAGAAAAAAACCTACGGCCTAAGACATTCTACCTAGCAAGGCTATCATTCAGAAATGAAAGTGAGATAAAGAGCCGCTCAGACAAGCAAAAACTGAAGGAGTTTTAAAATGAGTTTAAAAGAAATGCTAAGGGGTCTTCCTCAAGTGAAAAAGAAAGGCTAAAACAAGAAATAACAAAATATAGGAAGGGGAAAATCCTACTAGTGAAAGCAAATATATGGTGAGAGCTATGGATCAACCACTTAAATAAGCTAGTACAAAGGTTCAAAGACAAAAATTGTTAAACTAAATGACTATCAGTTTAAAACATGAAGATAGAGTTATAGGTGAACAAACATGAACTCCTTAGAGACCACAAATCATAAACCTACAATAGATATACATAAACTAGAGAGAAGGGAACACACACATACCACAAAAGAAAATAATCAAATCACAAGGAATAAACTTAAAAAAGAAGAAAAAAAACAAAACAAAACAGAGGAGAACTACTAAAACAACAGACAACAAGGAACGAAAGAGCAGCAAGTACATACCTAACAATAATTGCTTTAAATGTCAATGGACTAAATGCTCCAATCAAAAGCAAATGTGGTTGACTGGATGAAAAACAAAGCTCATTTATACACTGCTGACAAAAGACTCACTTCAGAGCTGAATGCACATACTGACCAAAGAAAGAGGATGAAAAGGGTATTTCATTCAAGTAGAAATAACAAAAAAGTCTGGGGCGGTAAAAACTCATATCAGACAAAATAGACTTAAACAAAGTATAAGACAAAAGACAAAGAAGAGCAATTATATAATAATGAAGGGAATCAACACAAGAAGAGGATACTGCTCTTGTTAACATATACACATACAATACAGGAGCACCTAAATATATAAAGCAAGTACTAACAGACATAAAAGGAGAAATTGACAATAATACAATAATAACAGGAGCCTTTAACACTCCACTGATATCAATGGACAAGCCATCCAGACAGAAAAATATCAGTAAGGATTAAAGACATAAACGTAGGGCCAAAAACCATAAAACTCCTAGGCAGTACACTTTTTCGACAGGATCCTTAACAAAGGTTTTTGGATCTGTCTCATCAGGCAAGGGAAATTAAACCAAAAATAAACAAATGTGACCTAATTAAAGTTAAATGTTTTTGAACAGCAAAGGAAACCATCAACAAAATAAAAAGACAACCCACTGAATGGGAGAAAATATTTTAAATAATATGTCTGATAAGGGGTTAATATCCAAAATATATAAAGAGGATACCACTCAATTAAAAAAAAAGAAAACAACTTAAAAATGGGCAGAAGACCTGAGTAGACATTTTCCCAGGGAAATCATACAGGTGGCCAACAGGCATATGAAAAGATGCTCAACATCACCTATCATCGGGAAAACGCAAGTCAAGACCACAATGAGGTGTCACCTCACATCTGCCAGAATGGCTCTCGTGGGTCAAATAATAAATGTTGGCGAGGATGTGGAGAAAAGGGAACCTTAGGATGCCATTAGTAGAAGAGTAAATTGGTTCAGCCACTATGGAAAACAGTATGAATATGCCTTTAAAAACTAAAAATAGAACCACAATAAGACCCAGCAATTCCACTCCTGGGTATAAATCTGAAGAAACCAAAAACACTAACTTGAAAAGATATATGTAGCTCAATGCTCATTGCAGCATTACTCACAACAGCCAAGGCAAGGAAGCATCCTAAGTATCCAGCAACAAATGAACGGATAAAGAAGGTGATATATATGTCATAAAGGAATATTACTCATCTATAGAAAAGAATGAAATTTTGCCATTTCCAACAACATGGATAGACTTGGAAGGTAATATGCTTGTTGAAGTGTCACATTGATAAAGACAAGCGCTGTATTCTTTTATCTATATAGTGAATCAAAAATAAAACAAATAAATAAATATAATAAAACAGAAACAGACTCATAGAACAAACTAGTGGTTAGTAGTAGGTAGTAGGGTCGGGGGAGGGGTAATATAGGGGAAGGGGATTAAGAGCTACAGACTACTAGGTAAAAAATAAATAAGGTACAAGGATGTATTGTATAGCACTGGGCATGTTTTCAATATTTTACAATATCTTCAAAATCACTGATTCTTTCTTGTTATAATTCACATCTATCGTTGTGTGTCTTCAATAAATTATTCACTTTGGTTATTGTACTTTTCAACCCCAAAATTCCTACTTGGTTCTTTTTAAAATAAGTTCTATCTTGTATTGACATTTTCTGTATAAGGAGATATTATTTTCAGACATTTCATTATTTCTTTAATCGTGATTTCCTTCAGATCTTTGAACATGTTTATAATAGTTATTTTGATGTCTTTGTAAAAACCTGGTATCTAGTATCTCTCACAGGAAGTTATTTACATCTTAAAATGAAAAGTGATTACTAAACAGCTTTGTGTATCACTGAAATGACTAAACTATAAACATCAAGGAGATATACAGAAGCCTCATAAGCTCTGTCTACCGTGTCTGTGTGAGGACACTCTCTGAACAGTGCTGAACACATACCTGAGAGAATGGACAGAGTAGTGGATTTTCCTGCCCCATTATGTCCTAAAAGAATGGTGATCTGCCCCTCATACAAATTCAAAGTTAAGTCTTTTACAGCTATTTTGGTAGTGTTCTTCTCTCGGAATTCCTGTGGGGGGAAAAACTCACAAATATTAACTTTATCTGTCATTATGACTTTGGAAGAACAAGCACTCAATATCAACTATGTATAGAAAAAACAATACCACAAAATCAATCTCATGAGGGAAAAAAAAATCAAAATGTAAGAAGGATAAGACAGTGAAGAGGAAAAAAAAAGGTAACTGAGGGCATAACATGAGTTTCAGAATTTCACAGTAAATCTATAAATATCCCCTAAGCAATCTCACGCATTCCTGCTGTTTCAATTACTGTCTTGAAGCATATAATGCCACACTCTTCTTCAGTCAATGTCTTTGTCCTAATTTGGAGAACTCCCAATTAAAAATTTCTGATGTGTAGACTACCAGTGCTTCTGCTTAAGATGCAAAAATACGGAAAGAACGTCACTCTCAGCCCTAGCAAAAACGAAACTAAATGATCTACAGAATTACAACTTCTCTCAAACTCATCAGAGAGGTGAGATTTTCTAGGCAACCAACTAGCTTTAAGTCAATGAAAAGATAGGTGCCTTCAAGGAGAGATGATATATAAATATTCACTTACCTGGAGCAGACACAGGCACCATAAAAACTAGCATGAAGATTTTGGCTAAATTTTTAAAGCAAATGAGGTGAAAAACAGCCTCAGAAACATAATATTTAAACAGAAGAATTGGGATTCAAGCCCATTTCACTCAGATTTAAAGCATACATTCCCTCCAACATATTCCGTTGTTGATGAATAAAGGCAAGCCCCCTGTGTAACAGAAAAGAAAACGCTATTTCTTTTTTCCCTCAAATGGCAGTTGGTGTTGTTACTCCCTAGGTGTCCCCATCCTATCTGCTCCCTCGACCTAAGTAACAGGCTTGTGTAACTGCTTATTTGAAATCCCTACTTGGGTGAATGTCTAAACTCCTGTGTCCAAAATGGAGCTCATAATGCTTTTGACAGACTTTTTTTTTTTTTATTGTTCCGTAAGAAGAATCTTCTTTCTTCCAGCTTTCAGTAACAGTTCTTCAGTTCAGTAGCAGCCACCTCCATGAACACTGGGCTCCTGCTAACAGACCATTTTAGGCTCTTCAGGCTTTCGCCAACACTCTTCTCAAGGTTCTTCCAGTTTCTCCTCACTTCTTAATTCCCAAATGAATCCCATGTTATTAGTTTTTTGTTATGAAAGCATCCTATTTCCAGGTTCCAAAATATATTTAAGTTATATTTAAGCTGAGTAACAAATTAACCAAAACTTAATGGCTTAAAGCAAAAGTAAATACTCATTTTTCTTGTAGTTTCTGGCCTTAGAAATGCTCCACTGGGCACCTTTGGCTCAGGGTCTGTCATGATTTTGCATTCAAAATGTTGGCAAGAACTACAGACACCTGAAAACTTTGAGACTGGAGGATCCACGTTCAAAATAGCTCCCTCATGGCTGCCAAGTTGGGGCTGGATACTGAAGGGAGCACTCCGTTCATCCTGTGTTGGCTTCTCTTCCATCATTTAGGTGACTGCTTGAGCATCCTTATAACATGGCAGCTGACTTCTCCTAAAGTAAACAATGTGAGAGACCAAAGCAAAAGCCTCAGTGACTTTTGTGACAGTCTCAGAAAGCAGTTATGTCACTTCTGCAGTTTTTGACTGGTCATACAGGTTAACTCTTCAAAGCCATGAAAATCAGGAGATGCTGGGACACTGAAGGCTACCTTGCAGGCTGTCTACCACTTTTCATGACATAATCCAAGTTATTTTCTCAGTGGCCAAAATGGGTTGTGGGCTGTCTTGTGAGGCAGAGGTCACTGCACCGTCTTCAAGGAAAGGAGAAAGAAATATCAGCCCCTAATTGGGAGGAGTGAGCCATTTCTGCAGACTGAGGGTTCAGGAACAAATGGGACTTGAGGCTTTCGTGTCCTAGGTTTCCCATCCTGTGTCTCCACGTTTCATTTCTTCCCAGTCAAGATCCCAATTCTGGGATAGCCCATCTGCCCAGATTAGCAATTTAACTTTCTCTAGAGTTCTGCTGTTCCTATGATTAAATCTAAGGCTTAGTTCTCAGCCTTTTCTGTTCTTTGGTTGCTAGAAATGAAAATCCCTTTATATGCTTTCAGAGGCTCACTATATTTCAGCTAGCTTCTGATGGTTAATCACAAACAGCCTTTCATTTTCCATCTTCAATGTATCAATTCTCCCAACAACATCCATCCAATTCCATGGCCCCTCTAATTACTGCTTTCCCAATATTTTAAAATGCTTAATAGATGGCACCAAGTATGCAATTCTTCCCCCTGGAATACCGCCCCAATTCATCATTTATGAACACTGTACTGCTTCCTTGCACCAGAGTCTACCTTTCATCTTACCACCTGCTTTCTCAGTCTACTTGGGTACCAACAATCACTAGTTAGATTCCCTGGGAGGTACACTCTAAGACAGAAGTTAGCATCCAGGTAGTTTACATGAGATGGAAATTAACATGCAGGAGTGTTCTTGAGGGCAACACCTGTGTGGGGATGCAAAGGATGCAGATTTGGAGAGAGAGAAGAGTCGGGCTTCAGTACAGTAACAACAAGGCGAATCCCACAAAGACATGGGCTTGATTTTGTATGAGGTGACTCTGTTCCATTGATTTTGTCATTGGACAGGGTGGCCAGTATCCACAATGATCATGCTTTCAGAGAGAGTTAACTGAATAACCTAACTGAAGTGGTTTTCCTTCCCATCCTACCCCTTAATTGCTGTATCATCACCCTATTCATTTCCCTAATGGCACTTACTGTGTACTGCAATTATCTTGATTGTTCATTTGTTTAATTGCTAACCTACTTTTATTCACACCCGAATGTAAGTTCTTTGAGAGCATGAATTTTATCTGGCTTTTTTACTGCTTATAATCCCAGTGCCAAGAGTGAAAGAATAAATGATACACAGAAGATCCTTGGTTTTCCCAAGCATTCTCATGAGCCTGAATATGAAAGTCTGAGGCGTATATGGGAAGAGTGCATATTTAGAGTAGCAATCGGGGCAATCTTGTAGGAAAAGTATAAAGAGACAAATAGGGAGAGACAAGTGTAAATAAAGCTGGGGAAATGGTCGGAGCCCACGTGTTCCTTGAACCAACCTCTTACAGCTCTAATCTACATTGCAGGTTACTAACATTCACAAAAATGTTTGGTGTGAATGGATTTTCTGAGGACAACAGGGAAAAGACTGAGTTTTGCATTTGAATTGATGTAACCAAAACCGAGGCAGCACGCAGCATACTGAAGGCAGAGAGGACCACAAGAGTATAAATATCTCTTAAATTAGCTGAATTTGCATGGAGGGCTTTGGGTTTTCTGAAGTTGTGGGATTAGGAGCACAAATAAAACTTAGGTAGACCTTAGAGAGCGTAGGCCCTGGACTGTGGGAATCAAGGAACGAGCCTTGGGCTGGAATGGTAAACAAGTTATAAAAAGCTGCAGACTCAGAGGTGAGAGGCTGGTTAGCCAGAGGGGGGCCACCTAAGACAGGCACAGCCGCCTGAGTCCAAGAAGAATGTTGTAAAGCAACCATTTCTCATACATTCCGCCCTGATAAGCTGTAAGGCTCACTGGTGCCAACACGAACATGATTTACCAAAACATAAAGGGTCTTCTGACCTTGAGCCAGACGCTGCCTGTTAACCATTTCCCTTCTCATTCTTCTTTGCTATATAAGACTGTGCAACTTACTAAAGCTTCAGAGTAGCCATCAGCTCTCTCCACATATGGTGTGTATGTGTACATGGTATCGCGACACCGACAGAGAGGCAAGGAAATGTCATCAAACATATAGGTTACCTGAATATTACATGCTTGTAGTTGATCCAGATAAACTGAGAGACCCAAGAGTCTCCTACCCCCTGATAAACATCTTTACAGAGGAGACTACAAATAAAACATGCAAAATATTTGTGAACAGAACTGTGTTTACATACTCAAATCATCAAGCTCCACTAGACGCTCCTTTTTAAAATGAGAGCATTAGTAGAAGACATCATGACAGTTTACAGAAAGTCTGATTCTCTTTTGGAGGAAGAGAAAGATGTGACTTTTATTGTATACCATATAAATTTAATTTTGATCTTTCTCGAAGGAAGTAAACAAGATGGTCATGACTTTTTTCATTAGCATGTGACCTTTTTCCTGGTATTTCCTGTTAACAGACATTTACACTGAAATGTAAGCTAACTTTCGCCTCCATCAAGTAAAAGAGATCTGGGAAACAATACCTTGCACAGATGTTTGGCCTGGATACCTGCCACCAAGTCAGAAGGTTCAGCTTCAAAATACTTGCTTCCAGTTATCTTATAAATTTCTCTTGTTTCTTTTTTTGCCTCACTTTTTTCCCCAAACCAGTAAGAGGGCTAAGAAGGGAATAAAATGTAATCACTGTAATGACATTGAAAAATGAAACATTAGAAAATACTTCAGCTTGTTACCCTTTGTATTGAGATAGATTGCTGAGTATTTCTTGGGAGTAAAATTTGGTGCTAACTGGCTATAATTTGCCAAAGCACAAAAGCAAACTACTCTATTAAAATCATAACTGTCCAAGAGAAATGAAAGGAAAATATAGGTTCATTACCCCAAATCAGTCCAAAATGAGGTTACAGAAAAAAGTATTATATCACTCTCTGTTCTATCTTCTTCTCTTAGCAATGGTAAGATGAGCCAATGGTAACAAAGGAAGAGACTGAGAAGGAAGTCAAGATGTACCACACCCCATTTTGCTATGGTCCTGACTCTAAGAAATATGGGCAAACCAAAGACATAAACCAGGTGGTGAGTGCCTAGATCTGGGACATAACTAAGCCTCTTCTTGTTAGCATCTGAAGACCCATTCTGTACTAATTTCTTTATACTGAAGCTCTATCCTTTATGAAACACTTGCCTGCAAGAGTGATGGATTACTCAGAATTTGTAAAGTCTGGGGTTGCAGGCCATGATCTATAGTTTATTTATATTTATATATATTGGAGGCTTTAAAGTGCATTAGGAAAGGGCTAGTGAACTAGTACGGCTAGAGTAACTAGAATGATTCTTCTACCTGAAATACTGATTCAATTGTAGTTAATGCAAAATTAACTCATGGCGACTCACAGAAATTATAAAACAGGGTAGAAGGACTGTGGCCTCTCTCAAAAACAAAATCATTACCACTCACCAGCAGGAAAAAGTTCCATGGTTTGGACACACCATACTCTCCTGGAAAGACAGCTTCTATATACCAAGCCACAAGGCCATACAAGAAAGCATCAAATAAAAACATTCCCAGTATATAAACAAAGGCAAAGTCATCCACTTTGGTTGGAGAGAAGATGTTACTCCATTTAATTCCAATTTCTAAGAGACAACAGGAGACATTTAATTTAGATGCTAACTGAGACCAAAACAGAGTTATCCATTTGCATCATAATTTAAGAGTGAAGAAAATAAATGTGTTAATATTCTCTAGAGATTCCTACTATAGTCAGCCACTTTCTTGTACTATTAGGATTTAGGACAGCGAGCAAGTAACCACGTGACATCCTTCCTGCTTGCTACAATCAGTACTGAATGAAACAAAAATAACATGTATTAAAAAGTCAGTAGTAATATTCTTAAAAAATTAAGCATACATATAGGTTAAATAGTGGCTCCTCCCTCTACAGCACCCCTCATGCTAAATGTTCCCTGGAATATATAATTTCGGAAAAAACATTATCATTGAAAAGTAGGGTTGGATGCTAACTACAGAACAGAATACTAGAAGAATTATTGCATAGATACTGCACTGATGGAAAAAGGAAGAAAAAGTGACTATAAGCAGACTCATGTCATTTCCTTCTCTACCACTAAATAGCAGGTGGCAACTCCAAAGAGTAGGCAGAGGCCCTAACAAAACTGAGTCAGTTTATGGATAGAATGTAAAGCACTTATGTACTATAGGTGGTGGTATAAAGTAGTATAAACTTTGAAGGATAGTTTAGTGATACCAGTGAACATTAAAACTTGAATATCCTATGAGAACATGGCAAAATTTACAAGGTAAATACCCACTGTCCATTTCTGCCTTGACTAGGAACTTAGTACCCAGTGCCATTGCAATATTTGAGCTGAGACAGGAAGCCAGTTTCTGGGCAAGTGTCATCGGTGCATAGTTTGAAGAGATGCTGAAAGCTGGAAAGTAGGTGGCAAGATAAAGGAAACCTCCAACAGAAACAGCAAAATATACTGCAAATAAGAAGGAAATCATGAGGTCAATTTAGGCAATCTGAAAAAAATCTAAAATACAAATATCTTTGTTTTATTATAAGGGTGAACTAAAATAAGCACACTGAGAATAGGAATTTATCTATTTTGTTTACCATTGCTTCCCCAGCCATTATATAATGCTTATCACTTACTAATTGCTCAAAAATATTTTATAAATGAATAAAAGGCTGAAATTAAACATCTAAGGAACTAATTCATACAAATGGCCAATAGGCACATGAAAAAATGCTCAATATGACTAATTATCAGAGAAATACAAAGCAAAACTACAATGAGGTATCGCCTCACACCAGTCAGAATGGCCATCATTCAAAAGTCCACAAACGATAAATGCTGGAGAGGGTGTGGAGAAAAGGGAACCCTCCTACACTGCTGGAGGGAATGTAGTTTGGTGCAGCCACTATGGAGAATAGTAGGGAGACTTTTTAAAAATTGAAAACAGTTACCATATGATCTGGCAATTCCACTCCAGGGCATATATGTGGAAGAAACTTGAAATGGAAAAGATAATGCCCTCCCCTCCATATTCACAGAAGCACCATGTACAATAACCAAGACATGGAAGCAACCTAAATGTCTATTGACTGGATAAAGAAGTTGTGATATATATATGTGTGTGTATATATATATATACACACATATACGTATACACAGACACAAACACACACACACAATGGAATTGTGGTGTGTATATATATATGTGTGTGTTTATATATCTATAGATATATAGATACACACAATGGAATACCACTCAGCCATAAAAAAGACTAAAATAATGCCATCTGCAATAAGATGGGTGGACCTGGAGATCATCATTCTAAGTGAAGCCAGAAAGAGAAAGAAAAATACCATATGATATTGCTTATATATGACTGGAATTAGTAACTATTAAAAGATATCATAAAAGATAAAGATATCTCCAAGCTGGGAGAAGTTTTGCAACATACTTGAAACTAACAAAAGGTATGTAGCAGTATTCTGTAAAGAACTCTTGCAAATCGATAATTATAAAAGAACGCATTAATAGATTTTATAGGAAAGGAAACACATATGACTCATATTAATAACACATACTCAACTTCATTAGTAATTAGGAAAATTCAAATTTAAGTTTCCATAACATTTAGTATTTCTAATGTGGCACAATTTAAGCTTGACAATACTAAATTTTGGCAAAGATATGAAGCAATTGGGATTTTCATCTTCTTCCAGTGGGATGGTAAATGTGTACAAGCACTTTGTGTTTGACATAATCAGGCTGGACATTCACAAACCCTATGACCCAGCAATCTCATTCCTAAGTATATACCGTAGTGAAAGACTTACACCTGTGTACCAAAAGAAGCAGATTAAAATGTTCAGAATATCTAGCCTGCTATGATGCCAGAAATAGAAAACATCAGTGTTTTTTTTTCTACCACTTACTATTCTCTTTAGTATATCATATTCTGCCTCACGTTGACACACTACTTTTCTCTATCCTTTGGGTTGTTTTTTTTCTTTCTTTGTTGCTTATTTGTTGTATGTACAATCATGTCCCCATGAGGACCCATCAGTCAATAGTAACTATGATAATGTACTGAGAAAAATTAAAATAAAATGAAATAAAGTTATTGGCATATGTGCCCTTAAAGGGCAAAGAAACAATTTTTATTTGCCCCCATATATTAATATAGATATTGCGCTAGCAAAAAGATTTGGATGAATGAATGGATACTCATGTCCATTCAGCTGACATCCGGTACCAGTCTTCCAGTCCTTCAAAAATGCTTAAAAGCAAACCTCTATAGGAAGAATTCTTAGGTTTATCTTAATCTAAATTTGAGTTATTTTAATCATTTTTTTTCACATGTACACTATGCTCCACTTATTCATTGCTCTCTGCATATCCTGTCAAATCATTTTTTGCAGATACAGTATGTCCCCAAGGTCAATGGCAGCTCTTTGGAGGCTATATTTCAACAGCAGACACACAATAGGGATCTATTAATTAAGTGCAAGGACCCTTTATTTCAGTCAATTTTGTTTTCTTCCTCTTCACATACTCCACTATCATCATCAGATAGGGGCAGACTTTAGTCCCTCCAACAGAGTATACAGAAGCGATCTCATTCTCCACCCTTCCTGATAGATAAACAGGGATACCATGCATGAGTTAGCAGCTGAAGGTTAGAAAGAAACACCCAAATATGATCTTGTTTTAGCTTTTATCCTTTTTTCACATGTATACTATGCTATGCTAATTTTCACTGCCCTCTTTATTCCCTTTCAAATCATTACATGTTGCATATATTTGTCTTTTCAGTTAGAAAGTAAACAGAAGCTACAGAGGAGATGGCAGCTAAAGTTTAGAAGGAACTTCCAAATACAAACCTCCTTTAGTCACTGAAAATCTTTCCCAGAAAGAATTTTAGACTCACCTTTACTGAAGAACGTGCTAACCATAAAGCTGAAGAATATTGTGGCGATGGCAAAACACAGCAAAAAGACAAATACAAGAGATGGGTCACTGTATTGGATGACTGGCACGGGTTCAATCTAGCAAAGCAATCAGGAAGCCAGTTAAGTCATATTCCAAGAGGTGTCAGAGCAAAACAAAAGTAAAATGAAACATTTAAAAATATTTTAATAGCTCTAATGAAACTGATGAGAATGCTCAGGGAGATAGAGAGTAGACAATTCATTAACTACAAAAGGTCTGCAAGAGACAGGATGGAAGGGGGCAGGGCACAGCCATTCAAGGAATGACAACAATTAACATTAAAATGGTGGAAAATTCAACTTCCAGTTGGCCTTAAGGATTAAGATGGCAGGAGGTTTGACTTCCAGTAGACCTTGAGCTTCATTATATGCTTATTGTAACATTAGCATGATAAATAACATGCCCGCAGGTGCCATGCACCATGACAACCCCAAGGCTAACCACAAAAGGCCAAAGAAAGGACGATGCCTAATTTCTGGGAATCCCAGCCCTGTCCCCAGGGCAGCTGGAATGGTCCCGCCTGTGGGCATGTGAATTACTGAGCCCATAGAAACTGGTAACACTGCCCCTGGCCGCCTCTCTCTCTCCCTCCTCTTCAGAGAAAGCCTGCACTCTGTCTATGGAGTGTGTACTTACTTTTACTCTAATCTGAGCACCCAACCCCAACACCTCATGGCCTTTCTCTTGCCTTTTGATGTATCTCTCTAAATAAATCAACCTTTACTCAGCTGTGGCTTACTCTTGAATTCTTTCCTGCCCGAAGCCAAGCACCCACACTTGGTAGGGCACGTCCCAGGGGCTCAACTGAGGCTTGGGACACAGCCCTCCTCACGCCCCACACCCATTTTTCCTGCATCACATACATCTAGGTTTAAAGTTTAATTTGCTGAGAGACTAAGCAGTCCCTGGTTTCCATAGTGGAATCAACATTTTTTATTCCCTGGCAACTTGAATCCATTAGGCCCACACCATGTTTCTGTTTTCCCTCTCAAAGTTTGGCTGCAGCATGATGCAGTTAAATAGACACTTGCCTTGGCAAAGAAAATAAGGCACATCAAAGAGATGATAACTGAATAGAAAGAGAGGGATGTGAAGAAATAGGCAGCCCAAAGCATCCAATTACTGAGTCCTACCATGAGCTGGTACTCCTATGGGAAAGTTAACACAAACCATATATCATATAAAACAATATAATTATGCAAAATATTCACAAATATTTCTACTTTAACTTCCACCACAACCAAAATGGGTTAAATAGTTAGCATTATCATGCTCAATTTATAGAGGAGGAAATCAACGGTCAGAATATATTAAGTGACTTGATTAAAAGTATTCAGCTAGTAAGTGGTGATGCTGTGATGCTTATAAGCCCAGAGATGATTTCACCAATAATTTACCTGATACCGTTCAGATATGCAAAAACCTTGAAACTATAAACCAGCTAGATTGCTGAAAGAAGTTAAAGGAAACCTAAGTGTAGGAAAGACACCTCATCTTCATGGATCAGAGACTTAACACTGTTAAGATGGCATTAATCCTCAAACTGGTCTACAGACTGAACCCTATCCCCAGGCTGGGGAGCTTGACATGGGGCTCAGAACTCTCACTCCTGCGGGAGAATTTCTGCAATATAATTTTCTCCAGTCTATGGGTCACCCACCCACCACGTATGGGACCCAATTATATCATGAGTATACCCCTCCTACTGTCCTGCTGTGATTTTCTATTTGTGTCTCCAGTTGAAGAAAACCTTTTTTTTGGTAGGTTCCAGTCTTTTTTATTGACGGCTGTTCAGCAGTCAATTTTGGCTCATGTCTTATTGGCACTGACTCAAGTGAGTCTTCTCTGTAGTCAGAAAACTGCACCTGAAAAATTCTCTCTGTGAAGAGTCTCTGTCAGGACTGCCCATGGCAGAGAAGATAGCAACCCCTGTGCCACTGAAATCTGACAGAGATTGAATTGAATCTGTAGGTTGCTTTGGGTAGAATGAACATTCTAATAATATTAATTAATGATGGACTGCGGGACACATAAGATGTCTCATACAGAGGGCCACTTCTCCAAGGTCTAGAAATGTAACTAACCTGCATAAAAATACAAACAGAAATTTAGACAAAATGAGGCAGCAGAGGAATAACTTCCAGACAAAGGCGTAAGATAAAATCCCAGAAGAAATCAGTGATGCAGAGATAGGAAGTCTACCCAAGAAATTCAGAGAAATGATTGTGAAGATGATCAGAGAACTTGGGAGGAGAATAAATGCACAGAGTGATAAGTTACAAGTTTTTAGCAAAGAGTTAGACAATATAAAAAACAACCAAGCAGAGATGAAGAATACAATTACCGAAATGAATAATACACACGAAGGAACCAACAGTAGACTAAATGAGGCAGAAGAATGGATAAGTGAGGTAGAAGACAGAGTAGTGGAAATCACTACTGTAGAAGAGAAAAAAGAAAAAAGAATAAAAAGAAATGAGGCTAGTTTAAGAGAGACCTAGGATAACATAAAACACACTAGTACTTGCAGAGGGAGAAGAGACAGAATAAGAACCTGAGAAATTATTTGAAGAAATAATAGCTGAAAACATCCCTAACTTGGGAAAGGAAGCAGTCACCCAAGTCCAGGAAGCGCAGAGTCCCACACAGGATTAACCCAAAGAGGAGGACGACAAGGCACATAGCAATGAAATTGACAAAAATTAAAGGTAAGAAGAAAAATATTAAAAGCAACAAGAGAAAAAAAGAAAATAACATACAAGGGAACTACCATAAGGATATCAGTTGATTTTTCAACAGAAACTCTACAGGCCAGAAGGGAGTGGCATGATATATTTCAAGTGATGAAAGGGAAAAACCTACAACCAAGAATACTCTCTCCAATAAGGTTCTCATTCATATTTGATGGAGAAATCAAAAGCTTTACAGACAACCAAAAGCTAAAAGAATTCAGCATCACTAAACCAGCTTTACAACAAATGCTAAAGGAACTCGTTGAGGTGGAAAAGAAAAGGCCATACCTAGAAACAAGAAAATTACAAAATGGAAAAGCTCACCAGTAAAGGCAAGGACGCAGTAAAGACAGGAAATTAAAATTTCTTTATAGCCATTTGTGTTACAGGACAATTATCCTGGCAACAACCTACGAGGTAGATTGATAGGAGAGATAATGGGTAATGAGATGTGTGACAAGAGCCCTGAGTGAGAAGAGCTAGATAGTGAGAAACAGTGTGACCCTGATCTGTAAAGTGGTGTTGCCACTAGCAAGGAAAGAGTGAAAATGACACAACCAATGATAACACAAAGGAGATAAATGAAATGGAGAGACCACTGCTATGGAGCACTCAGTATGTGTTTCCGCCTTTATGCCTGATGACAGTAGGTCTAGGTGATTTGAGGGTGATAATTTTTCACATAATATCTTGCTTAATGTCATGACAACCTTGCAAATTAGGTATTATTATACTCAATTTACATGCAAGAAAATACATGAGAAAAGTTATATATCATGTCATAGACTCAGTAAGTACTAGAGACAGGATTCAAATCTTTGATTTGTCAGTCTCTGAAACAAAATAGGCAATTAATAAATCAGTAATATATAACTCTGAATGAATCATTGGTTAAATAGATGATTGGATTTTGAACTACAAAGCCTCTGGCCATAACACAATATTTTCTCTCCCTAGATACAATTTTGGAGGGGACTATTAGAGGCCACTCTGAAAAAAAAATTCAAATATCACAAGCTGGTAAAATAATCACAGAATCATAGAGTCTTGAAATTGAACTGTATCTAAATTTATCTAGATATAATTCCACAAGCCCAATTGATTATTATTATTATTTTTTGTAGCTTACTTTATTCCAGAGAGATTTTAGGTCATTCTGCATTTAAATTCAATCTGTAACGTTCTTGTGAAGTAGTCGTCTAGAAATAAAACTGAAAACTAAACCAAGAATTCCAGTAAAAACAAATTTTACAAAACTGTCAAGAGATACAAGTGCTCACTGAAACATGACCACCCACCAGTGCTGAATGAGTAGAAATAATCCAACCCTCCACAGAAATTTGCCTTACAGATACAACATTTTCTACAGAGTCTCTATCTCCTGCAAGAAAAGTGGAGTTACCTTCAATCGGTTTTCCTTTTCCCACACAATAGACTGAATGAGGGTAAGATGATTCATAGCAAAGATAAATAAGATTACTAAAGGGGTAAAAATAACCAAAAATTTTAAAAAGTAATCATGATCATATATTGGGTATGGAAATCTCTGAACAAAAACGGTGACACGTTTGAACAGCTCTTGTGCAGCAATGTGGTCATGATATTTCATGATGGCTTTATTCAAGGCATGTTGCATAACCAGGAACCCTTCAGTGATGTAACCTAAATGAAAACAAAACAACACAAGGATTGCTCAGGACAATAGAAAAAGAAACAGCTGAGCTGAACAACAACACAAAAGGTAACTACAGTGTGTCAAAGACAAAGTTATTTGTTGTAATGAGGGCCTTCTCGTAGTCTGAATGTCACAGCAGCTAACATCGTTTCCCCAAACAAATATATAATAATACTTTAAAAATGGATCCTAATTCTCAACTTTCCAGAAGTAAAACAGTGCATGAAATTATGGAGCTACTTTCTGTAATTTCAATCAACTGGAATGAGAATTGAATTAATTATTGGACAGGCAAATACTTTGATCCTGTACCCCTGGCACGTGAAAAATTCAATGAACCTCAGACTGAGTGAGTTGTATGAGCTGATGTCTGCTGAGGAGTGCTACCCAGTGTGGCCTCTGGATCTGCGACAGCATGAAAATAGTTTCTTCCTGGTACATGAGTTTGGTGTAGAAAGTAAAAGCTAATAAAATCTTTTATAGAAATTTGGCATTGCCATGACATCTAAAAACTGATTTTGCTGTTAATCTCTACAAGTTCTTTATAGGTTTTGAATGTGAATCTTCTGTCATATTTTCTCCCCTCTGACTTTTGCCTTTTAAGTGCCTTTCAGATGAGAAGTATTTCATTTTAATAAGGTTAATTAGTCAATTTAAAAATTTTATAGCAAATCCTTTTCGTGTAGTAATAAATCATTTTGATGTGTACATTGAGTCATTAAAGTCAAATTTCACAAGTAAATCTACATAAAAATGTAAGGCTTATGACGAGGAAAGGATAAAAGTATGTTGTTTCCTATGTATAGAATTTTTCATATGAGTTTTTGAATACTGAAAATTTTTAAAGAAAAAAATCACCAGCACAGTAAGTAAAAAATAAACAATTTTCATCTCAAGTTTGAAGATATATAATTGTAAACATGTGATGGGTCTTACCATACTATTAGGATATTAAAATGAGTATGGTTAAAGATCTGCTCACCAGGACTCCCTCCATCTGCAAAATGTTCATTTCTGGGTCCCACAGAAAGAAGAGATGGAAAGAGAGCGCCTGTTTCCCAGCCTCCAGGTCGATTAAACCGCACATACTTGTTCCTCTGAAAACTACTAAAACGCAGATGACATTTTACCTAGAAGGAGCAATAAGAAACAAACAATATCTATAAACAAAGAATATAATTAAGTAAGAATAAGAAGCAATTAAAGTATGATTGAGGAAAAAAAAAGTACAATTGAAAATGTGATTTTGAGGCAGACTGATAAGCATCAAAGTAGATTCTGAACATCAGGAAGAGAGGGCAAACTTGCTGTAGGTCTGCTGTAGGTTTGTGGTAAGCTTACACACCATTGTGAATGTATTTTCCCGAAATAGATAGCTGGCATGCATACTGAAATGAAATATACCAAAGATACACCATAATTTCCTTTCCAGTTATGTCAGCCAAGTGTTCTCGGAGGAAAATCTATTCCTTTCTGAAAACTGACTGAACGTAAGAAAGTCCTACATGAGGACAGAAGAAGAATGTGATAAAATGTAAACGTGGAGTGTTGTATAACTTAATTATTAAATGAAAAGATGATACTAGTTCTGGAGAATTATTTCAATTTCAAGGCAGACCATGCTGGGTCTAAGTAGTGTTACAAGACAGAAAATGGTCCAACAGTTGCCAAAAGTCAGAAGGATCAGACCAGAAAAGTCAGAAAGATCAGGAAGGGGCAGGCAGATGTTGTAAGTCTAGATAAATATTCATATATTCAGTTATCAAGACAAAAATTTTAGATTCTTACTACATGTTCAAGAATTAAGACATAGCCCCTGTTCCTCAAGGAGCTCACATTCCATTTAAGGAAACATATATATTGACATCATAGTAACTTCAATGATAGAGACATGTGTAGAGTGTTTCTGGGAGTATAAAGGAGGAGAGGTATATGGTTGTATGGTTGGGAGAGACACTGTAGAGCAAGTCACATTAGCAATCTTAAGCATAAGCTCAAATGAGGGGGGCCGAATAAGGGAGATTATTATACAATACAGAAGAGGTGAAGCTTGAACCTGCACCAAAAACATTTTGACAAGTCTCTGTGTACACCATTGAGTCTTCATCAGCATCAGCTTACATGGAGCCAGTAACTTGAGGGAACGTGACCTATATGAAAGGAGTGAGGGAGTGATGGGACAGAATGAAAAGATACCTACCACCCTGCTTACAACTTAGTGAGTTTCCTTACTTCTTCATTCCACTGATGACCGTCTGCATCTTCAATGCAGAGTTTTGGCTCCATGTATTAATCTATACCATACTTTGTTTATTTGCCTCAACACGAGAGACACCAAGTTCAAAGCTCTGTCCATGCCTCTCCTTCTTGGGGGCTGTTATCAGAACCTTCCAAAGTGTCTGAATATGTCCTAATTCTGATTCAGCTTGGCTAAGCCTTCACATTAACCTCTAGGTTTAGATTTAGGAGAGAAATCATAAAATTCACTCAAAAGAAAGAGGAAAGTTTTTGTGTTGTGTTCCATGCCAGTGAAGATGCATCCATTTTAACGTACCAGATCTTTGGACCTGCAAAATGTGTATTTACTACACCATCATATGTACCTAGAGATAACTCCCGTATCAGATACAGTAGCAAAGGCAATATCCTTAGGTGTCAATATTTCCTATGAGTCCAATTTATAAGTAGAAGGCCTGGTAGGTGGTAAATTCAATTATTTTCTCATCAGCAAAAAATAATGGCTAAATAAATGCCCAGATGCCAAAGTTACTGAGGCTTGCTCTAGTATGTAAAAGCAGTATGACCTTGGGTAAATTACAGTCTTTCCACCTATAAAATGGAATAGTGATACCTCTGCTTGATGAAATTTCTGGAAACTGGAAGAACAAATTTTAGGTTTGTACATAAAATTTTCTTACCTTAAGTGGCAGGGGATCATTGCTATTTTTGAACTCGTGGTCAAAAACAAAAGCAACCATCACTCTTTTAGAGTTATCCTCTTCCTTAACATAATCTTCAAAATCTCTTTCTGAAGAAAAGCCTTGAACTGTAGAGAGAGAAAAATCTAATGTGTGAGTTGACCACATAAAGGCAAACTGTCTGACAGCGCTTCCTATCTGTAAGATGGGAAATCCACCTTATGTGGATGAAAGGCTATCAAAATAGTATAAATTTTAAAACACTGCAGCTCAGACACTGGCATAACAAACTGATATTTGGAATGCCTGAAAGTTTTTAGGAGTGTAAAAAAAAATTATCACAAGCTTAAAATATAATTAATCCTTGTAATAACCGTATGTTGAAATAAGCTAAGGATGAGGAATGTTTCAAACTGGTATTTTGAAATTTCCATCTCAAGGGGAAATAAGAACAAAATTGACCTACACAATCTATTCAAAGCCTTATACCATGGGAATCTTTAATACTAACAAAAATTACTTAGGAGTTGAGGAATGAAACCACATTATGATTTTAATATTTGAGGTAATTGTGTTTCAGTATTTGAGATGACCTATCAATGAATTTAGCTTAAATTAAGTTTAGCCTAAAATTTTAAAATGTGGCATCATTTGCACCCTTCTAAGACAAAATATGTTGTCATTTAAATATCTATATGTACATTGTTTTTGTTTTGGTTTTTTGGTTTTTTTTTGTTATAGTCAGTTTACAATGTGTCAACTTCTGGTGTACAGCACAATTTTTCAGTCATACATGAATATACATATATTCATTTTCATATTCTTTTCCACTGTGAGCTACTACAAGACATTGAATATATTTCTCTGTGCTATACAGTATAAACTTGTTTATCTATTTTACATATACCTGCCAGTATCTGCAAATCTCAAATAACCCTCTCAGACTTAAGACAATACTACAGAACTACAGTAATCAAAACAGCATGGTATTGGTACAAAAACAAACTTATGGATTGATGGAACAGAACAGAGAGCCTAGAAACGAACCCACAAACTTTTGGTCAATTAATCTTTGACAAAGGAGGCAAGAACATACAATAGAATAAAAACAGTCTCTTCAGCAAATGGTGTTGGGAAAACTGGACAGCAGCATGTAAATCAATGAATCTAGAACACTCCCTCACACCGTACACAAAAGTAAACTCAAAGTGGATTAAAGACTTAAACATAAGGCAAGACACTTCATGCACATTTGTATACACTAAAGATTTTCTTTGGAGTAAACATATTTTTGAGGTAAACAGGAAAGGCTTCAATAGCCCATAGGTGCAAGTGAAGTTCCATGCATTTTTATTACTAAGATTTAAATGGCTTGACTGCACAACTCTCCCTCTAGCAATCCGTCAATGACTGGATTTTCAAACGCTCCCATGACAAGCCTCATTATTGCCACTGTTGACAGTATAGCTTGTGAGGACGCCATATCTTTACCAAAGGTATTATCTCATGCTTCCAAATTCCCATTCACAAGCCACAGTCTCTCCAACTCTTTGCCATACTTGTCACCTGGACTCCCAGGTATCACTGTTTCTGAATCTTATAAAGACTTATAAAATCAGTTCCCTTAGCCACTTTCCACTCCACTCATTTTCTGCACACATATCTATTAAAAAAAAAACACAACATGCAATTTCAAAGAATTAGCCCCCATCCTAGACAATACCTTTCCTGAACATATGGAAACTTGATGGAGACACTTAGATGGTTATAAAACAAAGGGACTGTCTGATCCAAAGGAAGAAGGGAAGGATGAGGTTATGGATTCTGGAACTGACTCTGATTCTTGTGCTCTTGGGTCAGTGTTTGGCCTGGGAGGTGACCATGTACCTACAAGAATATGTCTCCAAGATAAGTATTTGAGGAAGCCACTAGAAAAAGGATATAGCATCATTCCCCACGGCTTTCTATGCCCAAAACTCAAAACCGACCTCTAGTCAGCAATATAACGATTCCCAAGGTCAACACAAGCAACACTGACAAGAGTAGTAGCTTTCATCATTAAAAGAATCAGACATCTCAGCTTCAGATGCAAGCTTACACTCAGCCAACACTCTTCTGCTGTAAGTTATTCATCAGCTTCAAGGAACCCCAGGGCAAATACTAGAACAAAGATTGCTCTGGCTTGCTGCTAATACTGGCAACTCATGGTTGATGGGGTGTCCAAGATATTAGCTCAAACCTGAGCACATTAATGCTTTTCAAACTGGGGCTGGGGATGGTGTCAAGCATAACCCAATTAGATTTGACAAACAGAAAATATACTGCATTTCTAGGCCATAATATTAATAGTTGTGATATGATACAAATATGGTATCAGACAAATATGTGACTGTCCTTAGAGGCTGTCACTGGTGAGGAGCTTGGTTAAAAAAGTATAGATTTATAATTGTGATAAAAGGGATCATAGAAAGCATAACCTCGATTGTCCTGGATCCAGGAAGGACTAATAAGATAAATTTGAGGTTTACTTTCTTGCAGCACTGTACCTAAGGTTACTGAGTTAGATTAGAAAATGTTAGCGGTACCAGGAACTCCTTATCAACATTGCTGGCTGTGATGTCTCTGATTTAGAGGCTGTGTTTGGAGTGAGAAGAATATCTCTGGGACCGTATACAAACTATGGGAAACAAAACTAGCAGCCTCCCTGTATTTGATCTACCCTAATGCAGATATTCACTGCTGCACCTTACATTTCATTTCATTCATTGAATTCTTCAGCTCCAAAATTTGTTCAGTTCTTTTTATGATTTCTATGTCACTGCCAAATTTTTCACCTTGTTCATGTATTTTTTCCTCTTATTTCATTGACTTGTCTGTTTTCTTGTAGCTTGTTGAGTTTCCTCAAAATAGCAATTTTTTAACTCTTCATCTGCTAGATCTCAAGACTTACGCCTTTGAGCATGGTCATTGAAGAATTTGTTATCTTTTTGGGATGACACGTTTTCTTGTCATTTGGGAACATGCTTCATGTTCCTCATAGTTTTGAATTGCTGCCGTCTCATTTGAAGTAACAGACATCTCCTCAATTCTTCACTAGTTGCCTTCAGACGAGGTGTACTGTTAACTCTGGAGTTCTCTCTGACCTTCTATTCATACACCTGCTCTACACTTCTTGCTTCCTCCTGAAGCAGAATTCTTATGTAATATTTTCTCTGGTTCTTACAACTCACTGGCTGGCCGCTGGAAACCTCTCTTTTATTTCCAAGAAGGTAATAATACAGCTCTAGATTTTGGTTTTTCTCTTGCCCATAGATCCTGGTTTGTCTGATAGCACTCTGTTTACGGGACACTTCTTAACTGCTGCACTTAGGAGTTACACAAGGAGCTGGCTATAGAGTGGGAGGAGCTGTGCGTTTAGCACTCAAGGTCTTAGATGCGCCTGGTGGGGAGACCCTCTGCCAAGGTTCTCTCAGAGGCTTATGGGTGAACTTCTGCTGAAATCTTCAGTGTGGTCAGCAGGAACTGTGTCCCTTTAATGCCCTTTGATATTCTTATCTTCCTTTTTCATGATTTTCTCCCCACTCCAAGTCATGGGGGCCCCAAATCAGTACCCTTGGTGCTGCTGGAGACAGTTTTCTCCAGTAGCTTCCCTTATAGCTAAGGTAGCTAGGCACTCATTCACTTTTTCTCCACACTGAGAGGTCATCACGGGATAGTTCAGTCTTGTGCTATGTTACCTTGAGGGATGGGAGCCTTAGAGCACTGGAATGGTTAAATGATCAGGTGAAGGCAGCAGTGGCAAAGGTTCTCCAATGAAGCTGAGACCCAATGAGCAGGTGAGGGCAAGAAAATCTAATAAATACCTAAAAGTGGTCTAGTACATGACCATTCAGAATACATATCAACATACAGCACTTAAGGAATTTTTTAGGTTCCTCATGTATTAGGACACACAAAAGAATATCAATAAATTCTGAGGAATCAACATCTTAAAGACTTTGTCTCTGACTATAATGTAATAAACATGGAAGTAACTAGCAGATAGTTTTTAAATTCTCATTCAGAGACTTCCAATTCTAGCCATATGGAGTAGCTAATATTAGACTGAACTTTCCCTACTGCGTAACAGTTGGGTGAAATCTGTTTGAGAGCAACCAGCATGAGCAGAACTTACAGAGTTATGAGCCTTGAAAAAGGGACATGCACAACATGAGTGTCATATCCTCCCTGGTATTTTTGCAAAAAGTTTCAGACTTGCTGAGTTGGAGAGAAAAAGGTGAGAGTTCAGGCTGCCAAAATGGCTGGGACTTGAGAAGCACTGTTCCAAAGAGAAGAGAATAGCAGAGAAGTAAGGTGAAAAAACTAGCATGTAAATTCCACTGACCAACTCTAAACCTAGCATGCATAGGATAAGACTCTTAAGAAACCAAGAGGATGATACCAGGTGGCAGGCTGAAATGCGGAGCAGTAATTTCAGCAGCTAGGCAATGCTGGGGAGACAGAATGAAGTTCAAGCTCCAACAACGGAATGGGGCCTTCAAAAATACTCCAGACTAGAAGGGCCACATCCTAGGAATAATGACCGGGTCGCAGGACAAGGGGTATGCCTCAGGGGCAAAAAGAAAACTGAAATAGAGCAGTCTTTACTAAGGCCTAAAAACAATCTTGCATGGAGTCAAGCTGACCCATCAGTACTCTAATAACCATCCAGAAGAAACCTAACCCTCTTTAGATAAAGTGCCTTCAAGAGCATCTAATATTTTTTATCCATAATATCTGTCACTTAATAAAAATATACAAGATATGCTCCAAAACAGAACTCAATGATTTGGAAAAAATATATCCAAGAGATCCAGATACCAGAAATTGCTGGTAGAGACTTTAAAGTAACTATGGTTAATACGGTTAATAAATTGAAAAACAAAACTTCCTCTAGAAATCTAGAATCTATTAAAAACAGAGATGAGTGAAGATTGCAGAACTGAGAAATATTTTTTAAGAACAATTCAACACAAAGATTATATGACCTAATAACATAATTTCAAAATATGTAAGCAAAAAGGAAATTATAATATGATTTTAATATATATAACTGATTTAATACTAATGACACCAAACTGGAAATTTAAAACCTATCTCATCAACTGAGAGGATAAACAGACAAAAAATAGTAAGAATATAGAAAATTTGAAAAGCACAATGATTAACCAACTTGACAACCTGACCTTGGTGACATTTATAGAACATTACAAGCAAAATTTACAGAATATATAGTCTTTACAAATTCGCATGGAACATTTCTCAAAATACATCGTAAATTGGCTATAAATAATTCTCAAATTTTCAAAGAACTGAAATCATAGATCATACTCTCCGATTATAGGAAATTGAAATAGAAATCAACAACAGAAAGATAACAAATCCTTGGATGTTTGGAAGTTAAGTGCTACACTTCTAAAATCCCAGGCATCAAAGAAGAAATCAGAGTGGAAATTATAAATTATTTTTAGTAACACAGCACAACCGACAGAAGACTAAATTATTGGGACGTATACTTCAAAAATTACTGAGATTTTGCATTTTTCTGCCATAGTGTTTTTTAGAAACAGGAAATATTTTGAGATGGAATCTACTCTCAAGGACTCTCAAAATCCTTGAGAGACAAAAAAAAAAAAAGACTGAAAAAATACACTACTGAGTAAATATACGTGTGTAAAGGAAAGGGGCAGTAGAAAGATGCCCACCAAAATTCTGACAATGTTTATCTCTGGGAGAAAAAAAAAGACAAATTGAGTCGAGAATGTGTAAGTGAGGAACCGGGCACTTTAAAAATAATTCTTGAAGCTTGAGTCTTCTCCAAAGCATTCATATATGACTTGTGCAACATTTTTACATAAATGATGTTTGAAGTAACTGACTACTGAGTGTGCATCCAGAATGAAGGCTCCAGCTTACACACTTCCTTTGAGTACTTCTGGCACACTATGAGGTATATTCCTGGAGTAATACTTACCCAGTTCAAGAAGCATAACCAGAAAGAAGGAAGACAGTATCACAGAATTGGGTGGTAACCAAGAATAATAAAAGTTGATCTCCCAATTTAAAAATATTACTGTTTGTTTGGGGCTCCAGGGAGAAATATTTTATAGGAATTTAACTCTCAAGCACAACAAAGTCCATGTTATACTTAGGAGGCTACTCTCTGTTTATGCGGATCACCTACAATGTTTCACTTGGGATTAACGCCCAGTAAAAGGTTACAAGTGTGCTTTCCCTAAAACAGTTGAATAATACCTTTTTTTCCCCCAGAAAACCTTAATTTCTAACCTTTAAAGTTGTAGTGTAAATCCCTTTTCACGGTTTCAACAATATTCTTCACCGCAACACTTTTGGAAGGCACGAAAGCCAATTCCCATGCTCCAGAAGAAGGAGTGTCTCTAAGGAACGAAGGCAACTCATCCACAGGCTGAACAGAGTAATTGAAAGGTCCATACTTCCTTATAACGATAAACTTACGAGTTAACAAAAGGGTACCAGCAAATAGAAATGCGAGGATGATTTCCACAACTAAAGCAATGAATTGCCGCCTCTAGAAGACGAGAGAAAAAAAGATTGTTAATAGCTCTAAGAGTACATTCACTTTACAAATGACTAATTATTTTATATTAACAGACAATTCATAAAAGAAGACATATAGATGGCCCAAAAGAACAGCTTCACTCTATAATAGCAGAGGTTTCCTGGACTGTCTTTTCTCTCCTTTCTATGTGCCATTCTGCTATCACTTCACTCTATGAGGACTCTTCAGATTTTGAAGAGATACCCCTAGTCCTAGAACTGAGAAAAATGAAACAGTATTAAGTTGAAATGCAGTGACTGAGCTATCAGAATTTTCCCATGTGGTCTCTCAGCTGTTTCACAAATTCTATAGGTAGTTCACAGCTTACCTTTAAAATAAAATTCTTCCACACAAGAACCATAAATTTGTAGAACCACGAAAAATCCATCCTTCAACTCTACAAAGGGAGTAAAGACTTTTTTAAAAAAGAGGTTAAGATGATCTAACAAAATGTAAATTTTAGATGAGTAAATTACTTACACTTGAATTACTTAATTTTCTAACCAAGCTTAAAGGATGACAAGAAAACAATAAACATTTGAAATATTTGAGAAGTTGTGTATATCTACATTTTAAATTTATTCAGCACCTACTGAGCTTCTAATATGTACAAAACTTCAAGCACAGAACAAAGATCAATAAGTTATTCATGCAAATTTCCAGATGAATTTGTCCAGCAGTTTTCCCAATTCTTATGAAAATACTAAGAAATAATACGAAACAAAGAAATAATCACATCAGCAAAAACAAACAAACAACATGTAAAATCATATTACAGCTATAAGCCCAAAATGTCACTCAATAATTTGCGAGATTGGAAATACCTCCATTAATAACATTGTAAACGGGAGCAGATTAATTCTTATGTTTAATGAATATTTGCTGAACATCTGCCATGTGCCATGTTAAGTGTAGGTGTTAAGACAGAAAACAAACAAAACTCTAAACTCTTCCTTCATGGTGTAGGTGGCATGGCAGGTTATTAATTAACCAGGATCTGAAATCAGACTGTCTAGGTTGATTTCCCAGCTCTACTAGTAACTGATAAGTGATTTAGAACACTTGACAAACTCCTGGGGCTACCAGAAAGAGAACAAAAATTCAGGGCCAGGAAGAGGAGGCATTATTGTAAGACTTTACCTTATAAATAAGGATGAATGTGAAGTAGGCAGAGAACAAGGAAGCTGGCAGAAGTAGGCATAGAATTTGGAAACTGGCAAAGAATTGGAAACTGGCAGAACTCCTACACAACCAGAGCTGCAAGAAAGATCTCCATGTAACTGAGTAAAATGGGGAAAAAAGGCACTGGGTCAGGACCTGTACCCCTGGGAGGGATCTTAAGGAAGAAAAGGTCCAAACAGGTGGACCACTGCCCTGGGGAGTGAACTAGTAAAACCACAATCTGGGCATCCCATGCTGGAGACCTGCACAGAGGAGATGGGAAATCTGCTGAGACAGATAGATGGGCTAAAGAAGCCTAGACTCTACTTGGGAAGAGTGCACACATGTTGGCTTGCTGACAATCAGGGTGGAGAGAGCCTTGCACTGTGGCTGTCACCTCACTGCACTTCCTAATCTGAAAAGGTGAACACCCTGGCCCTGCTCACTCAACACCATAGCCTGGCACGAGATCTGGGCAGAGACTTGGTCTAACTGCACAGATACTAACCAGGGCGCCTAGGGTGTGATCTGAGTGGAGACGTGGAGACCATTATCAGTGCGTGCATGGGGCACAAGGTGTAGCCACAGGGGTCACTGTCAGCATTTGTGTGGGGCAGCCGCCACAGAAGCACACAGCAGCTAAGTGCTGAAGGTTGGGCAGACAAGCCCTAAGAGAGGGCTTAATCTAGTTATACAGAAACAGCCCCGAGGGCCTGGGGTGTGATCTGGGTGAGCGGCAAAGGCCATTATCAGCACACTCAGGAGTACACAGTGGGTCCTCTCCCAGAGAGAGCACACTTGCTCTGCCCACTGCACACCACAGCTTAGCACTAAATCTGGGGCAGACAATTCCTGGGAGAAGTCTGTTACAGGGGAAGCCAAGATCTCAGATGGGAGCACAACCACTTCAATTCCTAAAGCCATAACATCCAGAATCCTAGTTCCAGCCTACTCTGTACCACTGCCTTGCACTAGGTCTGGGATGTACACAACAGAAAAAGGGATGAGACCTTAGGCTGCTTCAAAGCCAAGATCTCAGATGGGAGCACAACCACTTAAATTCCTAAAGCCATAACATCCAGAATCCTAGTTCCAGCCTACTCTGTACCACTGCCTTGCACTAGGTCTGGGATGTACACAACAGAAAAAGGGATGAGACCTTAGGCTGTTTCTGAGTGGAACTGCGGACTCCTAAACAGGTGGCAGATAATCCACATGGGCCTCACCTGCTTCACCAACTCTTCTTTTGGGATAGGGCATGCACACAAGTACAAAGGAGCCTGATCAAACTTGACCTTCAAAGCTTCTATTCCAACAATTAGGGAGTGTACCCCACCACTGACAGGGTGGTGATGACAGCTATAGAGCTGAAAGAAACCCTACCTCACATTCATCATGGGCACTAGATACTGGACCAACCATGCCTGCCCCATCAAGGGGATAAGGCCAGCACACCCTGAGGAAAGACATGGCTGGCATCCATATTAAAACCATCCCTGACACCTGGGAAATAAAACTATTGAAAGACAACATAAATTTAAACATAAGTAACTTTCTCAGCCTCCCTTGGTCTCCTCTCTCGTACTTACTGTGCATTGTGTATCTGCATTATGCATCGCTCAAACCTCCCCCATTGGCAGGAAAACCTGCTCAACTATAAACAGCAACATTCTTCTAGCATAAGTAAGACAACTTCTTAAAAGATGATATCTCTCTTATCTTGCAAATGGCCATGATGATGCTTAGACCTGGACCGTGTAAACTGCCAATGATACATCATTTAATGTACAGCCCTCTATCTCAAAAAACTTACCTAACTGTGCCTGGACTTCTAATGGGCAGAACAGTTCTCAGAGATTTATGAAATGCTCTTTCTAGGAAATAATCCTCAAATTTAGCTCAAATAAAATTTTCCATCTCTTTCTTAGATCAACTGATTAATTTTTCATTGCCACACCAAACACATCAGACACACACAATTTACACAGGAGTACTCCCACATTAAAAACACTCTTTCAATGTCACAGAAAATGATTATTTCTCCTAAGGCATAGGAAACATTCCCAATTAAAAGAACAAGAGAAACCCCCTGGAAGACAAATAATGAAACAGAGTTCACCAATCTGCTAGACACAGAGTTTAAAAAGGAGGTAACAAAAATGCTAACTGAACTAAGAAAGATTATCAATAGAGATTATAATACTGTCACTGACAGATTATGCAGACAGAAAATCAATAAGGCAACAACAGAGGTCCTAAGTAATACAATAGACCAGTTGGACTTGATATCTATAGGACACTACACCCAAAAAAAATAAATAAATAAATAAATAAATAAATAAATAAAACAGAATACACATTATTTTCAAGCATACATGGAAGGTTCTCTAGAATAGACCACACACTATGTCACAAAACAAACTTCAACAAATTTAAGAGGATGGGAATTATTCCAAGCATTTTTTTTTCTGACCACAACAGTATAAAATTAGAAATCAACTATAGAAAGAAAAACAGGAAAAGGATGACTACATGGAAACTAACCAACATGCTACTAAAAAACCAATAGTTCAATGATGAACTCAACTCAAAGAAGAAATTAGAAAATACTTCAAGACAAAACAAAAATGAAAACACAACCTTAAAAAATATACATGATGCAGCAAAAGCAGTTCTAAGGGGAAAGTTTATAGCACTACAGGCTTTCTTCAAGAAATAAGAAAGATCTCAAATAAACAACCTAACCTACACTAAAATAATTAGAAAAAATAAGAACAAAATCCAAAGTCATCAGAAGAGAGGAAATAATAAAGATCAGAGGAAATAAATAAAATATAAATTAAAAAGAACAGAAAAGATCAATAAAACCAAGAGTTGGTCTTTTGAAAAGATAAACAAAATTGACAAAATTCTAGCTAGGATCTCCAAGAAGAAAAGAGAGAATGTACATAAACAAAATAAGAAATGAAACACGATAAATTATAACTGATACCACAAAAATATAGAAAAAAAATCATAAGACATTTGAACAGTTATATGCCAACAAATTGGGCAACCTGGAATAAATGGACAAATTTCTAGAAACATACAGCCTGCCAAAACTGAGTCAAGAGGAAACAAATAATTTGAACATACTGATCACTAGAAGTGAAATAGAATCTGTAATAAAACAACTCCTTCCAAATAAAAGTCCAGGACTGAACAACTCCATGGAGAATTCTACAAACATTCAAAGAAGAACTTATAGCTACCTTTCTCAAACTATTCTAAAAAACTGAAAGGGTGGGAGCACTGCCAAATTCATTCTATGAAGCCACCATCACCCTGTTACCAAGGCCAAAGAAAACACCAAAAAAGAAAATTACAGGCCAATAATTTGATGAATACAGATGCAAAAGTCCTCAACACAATATTAGCAAACTGACTCCAACAATACATAAAAGGGATCACACACCATTATCAAGTTGGATTCATTCCAGGGTTGCAAGGATGGTTCAACATATGCAAATCAATGTGTTACACAACTTTAACAAAAAGAAAGACTGAAACCACCTGATCACTTCAATAGATGCAGAAAAAGCATTTGATAAAATTCAACATCTATTCATGATAAAAACTCTCAACAAACTGAGTACAGAGGAAACATACCTAAAAATAATAAAAGCCAACATAATACTCAGCAGTGAAAAGCTGAAAGCCTTCCTGCTAAATTCAGGAACAAGACAAGAATGCCCACTCTCACTTCTACTCAATATATTATTTGCAACCGTAGCCAGAGCAATCAGATAAGAAAATAAATAAAGGTTATATAAGTTGGAATGGAAGAGGTAAAACTCTGTTTGCAGACGACATGATATGCTATATAGAGAGCCCTAAAGCCTCCACACAAACACTATTAGAACTAATAAATGAATTCAGCAAAATAGCAGGATACGAGATTAACATACAGAAATCTAATGCGTTTCTTTATCTTATTAATGAAATAGAAATAGAAAAAATTTTAAATCTCATTTAAAATTGTGTTAAAAAATAAAACACCCAGGAATAAACTTAACCAAGGAGGAGAAAGACCCATATGCTGAAAACTATAAAACAATGATAAAGGAAACTGAAGATGATTCAAATAAATGAAAAAATATCCCCTGCTCTTGGATTCAAAGAATTAATATTGTTAAAATGGCCATACTACCCAAAGTAATCTACAGACTTAATGCAATCACTATTAAAATGCCCATGGCATTTTCCACAGAACTAGAACAAATAATCCTAAAATTTATAAGGAACTGCAAATGGCTCAGAATTGCCAAAGCAATCCTGGGAAAAAGAACAAAGCTGGAGGCATAATCCTTCCAGATTTCAGACTATACTACAAAGCTACAGTAGTCAAAACAGCACAGCATTGGCACAAAAACAGACACATAGATCATTGGAAAAAAATAGTGAGCCCAGAAGCAAAGCCATGCACCTACAGTCAATCTATGACAAATGAGACAGGAATACACAATAGAGGAAAAACAGTCTCTTTAACAAGTGGTGTTCAGAAAGCTAGACAGCTCTATGTAAATCAATGAAGTTTAGAACACTTCCTTACACCATATACAAAGATAAATTGGAAACGGTTTAAAGACCAAATGTAAGACATGACACCACAAAACTCCCAGAAGACAACATAGGCAAAACATTCTCTGACATAAATCTTAGCACTTAATATCTGAGCATTTCATTAAATATATAGTTCAATAATATCAAAATGTTTAAAAAGGCTAAAACATTTTTAATGCCCAGTTATAACAGGCAAGTATAAGCAATAAAGAGCAGACATAGTAGAATTCAGGCTCAGAGACAAAGAAGACTTTATATTGCTAAAATCCACAATTTACATTGAAGATACAGTAATTACCAATGTATGCTCCCAGTAATACGTAAAACTCAACCAAAAGAGATACCAAGAAATCATAAACACAAGTACACTAATGACAGGTTAATTTAATAAAACAGGCCAATGGAAGTCAAGCAAACAAAAAATAAGGAGGGGCATATAGGACTTTAATAAATAAATCAGAAACTATGGGATATATTTAAACAGTGATTAAAGGAAATACAGACTTAGATACTCATATTAGCAAAAAAGAAATACTCTGAATAAACTAGAAAAAAAGTGAAACTGAAAACTGTCTGAAAAATTTTAGGGCAATCTACTTGAAGTGTGGACTCAAAAGAACAATAAAAAAGAATCACTGAAAGTTAAGCAATTACATTGCTTACAGTCTTGAATTCTTAGAATGAGATTTATAGTCACTAAAATATTTTCATTTCCTGTTCTGAACAAAACATAGGGTCTTTCTTAATTTGACTAAAATATAGATATCTTTTTTAAAAAGTCTTCTGCATAAAATGAGGTGACCAAGATGGCCTTAATGTTCCTGTGAGCTTGACTAACCTTTAATCAGGCTCTTTTTTGGCTCTAGGTCCTGATCTCCCTTTTCTTAAAGCATTTTCTTTAGAAAATTTGTAGTTATAAATTCTTCCTCTGTCTCTTTTAAATATATGTAACTCTTTTCTTAAAAAAATCTCTCTCCTGTTTTCCAACCCCAAAATGTCTTTCTTAAGGAACTGGCAGTCACCTTTTGAGTTGTAATCAAGATAGATACTGTGTGTTTATATATGGAGAACAGTATAGCTCAGGGAGGGCGGGAGCCAGCTCCAGCAGGCACAGGTGGCCTACTCACAGACAAAACATTTGCAAACTCAGGAAGTAACTCAAAGCCTCCTGAAAACCCCTCCCACCCCTCTAAAGTCCTCCAGCACTTTCCCACTATCTCATCTCAGCCCTGAAGAACCTTCCCAACTGCTCTGTTTCAGCCGAGTTGAGCTCAGACTGAGTTCTGCTCTCCCTTCCCTGTTCCAATAGCCTTGCACAGAGTCTTCCTTGCCTGTTTTAACTTTGGCGCAATTTTTGCTTTGACAGAGGAAAATGAAGACAAATGGAGCTACCTATAGCACTGAACTCCCATACCCCTTTTCTACTACGTTCTGGCAATTCAAACATTGCAATCACCCTCTGAGATGGGTACAGGTAGCACCCTTTTCCTTATAGGTGAGGAAATGGAGGCTTAGCGAAATCAAGTAATTTTCCTTATGTCATTGCTATAAACTGAATGTTTGTGTACCTGCAAAACTCATATGCTGAAATCCTAACCCCAATGTGATGTATCAGAAGGTGAGAAATTTGGCCGATTAGGTCATGAGGATGGAACCCCAGAGAACAGGATTAGTGCCCTTATAAAACAGGCCCCAGAGAGCTTCCTTGCCAGAGAATTCCCCTGCCAGGAACCAGGAACTGGGCTCTCACCAGACGCAGCTCTGCCTGGAGCCTCAGCCCTAGACTTCCCAGGCCCCAGAACTGCGAGAACTAAATTTCTGTTGTCTAGAAGTCAACCAGTGTATGATACTCTACTGCAGGAGCCCCAGCTGACTAGGACGGCAAATAAATTCTGGACTAGTCAGGTTTAGTGCCAAAACATTTGCTTTCAAAGCCCTTACTTTCAAATGCTTAGCATGACACAAGAAAATTCCTAAGAGTATATTTTTGTTTAATTTGTCCTAGTGAGCTTCTGTGTGTGTTCTGGAGTACAAGTAAGTCTCTTAACTTTGTGTGCTTGTCTATTGTGTTTTTGTTGGGGAAAGGGCTGTGCTTTTGCCTCCTGGGGAGACCTGGTCACCTATACCCAAGCAGTGGGGCTTGGAGAGGAAAAGGAAGAGAGGGAAGTCCAGGGGACTCACCGCTCAGACCGCACAAATGCCTCCTCCACAGATGGGCACGTTTAGAACCTGGGCTGCGCCTCCTCCCAACGAACGCCCTTTCCAACCGCTCCCAGCACAGGTTTGCACCTTAGGCCTCGCGGGTCACTCGAAGGCCAGGCCCTGTTGGGTACCCCGGGGATGGAGGGACCTGCAAACGCTGCCTAGGCCCCTTCTAGGTGGTTGCGCAAGCAACCACCACAGTCCCTAGCTCGTGCCACTCCCACCCCTCAGCCCGAGAGCCCCCTCCCAATCCTTCCACCTTCCCAGTACCTGCCAGCCCTCTCCTCCTACCCCTCCGCGCACTGGCAACTCAGAGCCTGCACTCTTTCCCCACTGCATCCTTTGTGCACCGCCCAGACCCTGAAGGCCCCACCTCGGCGCCCCTTCACTTGCTCCCCAGGTTCTCTGCCTCTGGACCCTACTGGACGACCCCACAATCCTCCACGTCTCGCGTACTCCCTCTCCCTCCTGTGTCAACGTCACCCTCAGCCGGCCCGGTAGCTAGTGGCTGAAAATGTAGAGAGAGCCAGTGGCTGGCCTCCCCACCCCCAGAGTCCGTGGGGGTTAAACAAGGAACGTACAGTCTTGCAAACTCCTACCTGTGGGCCACCCAAAAGCCCCCGATGGTGAGGCGTAACGCGCACGATCCACGTGGCCCTTTCCTCAGCGTGCGCCCCCCTTCCCCCACCCCTCCGCACGTGCCGCCTCTGCCCTTTGACCTCTCAGCGTTAAGAAATCCCTAGCCCCTTGTGCGTGCTCTCAGCCCGGCCCAGCCAGCGTTTCAGTTAACCACACCTCCAGACCTTTCTCACGCTCCCCAGTTTCGCTGATGCGTAATCCTCTCGGCTGACCCCACCCGAATACCCAGCTCCAGTGTAATTTATCATAGGGTCTGAATTCTCTCCTCTCCCGTCTGCAGTGCCAGGGATTAATTTACTGCCTCTCAGCGCCAAATAGAGCTAGGCTCTTGAATAGACTTGACGGGGCAGCCTTTGTCAGGAGAGGGCGCTGGAGGAACACTGTAGGACAAGGGCTTACTCGTGGTTAAGGGTATTTTCTCTTGGATTCTTTTTGCTCTTACCTTGCTGCCCGCAGCAGATGTGGAGGACATTTCTTGGCACCCCCTTTCCCTCCCTCTCCATGAAGTACGGATTCCTAGTGATTCACGGTGGTGACCCTTCTTAAGACCACCCTGTTAACAACCCCAGAGAAGAGTTTTCTGTTTTATAGACCCAGCCGAGTTTCCCTGTTGGCCAGTCTAGGCAGCCTGTACCCAGCTGAGGGATGATTCCTGCTTGCTCAGCACGTGTAGAACAGCCTGTGGAAGAGCCCTGGCCCAGGACACTGAACTTCCCCAGCACCAAGTGAGCCGTAACTAAACCTCCTGCAAGAGGATCTGAAGTCCAGCCTTGGGGAGGAGCCATCTTCCAAGCTTGTTTCTTCCTTGGGTATTCTCCTAGAGTTCTCTTTACCTCCGTACAGCTAACCCCCATTATATTTAATAATTATTTTAACCTTCCCTGTTCAAATTGCTGTGTGGTTTCCTGGCTTTTGATGGGGACACTGATATTCCTGCTTGCTTGTTGGCTGAATCCCTTAATCCTTCTGAGCCCCCCATGTACAATGAGGACAGTAGCAACGCTACCTACCTCAGAGGGTTGTCATGGGATTAAATGATGTAACGCATGAAAAGTGCTTCTTCAGGGAACTGACACGTGATATTTTTTGTTTGTTTCTTGTTGGAAAATGAAGAGGTAGGATAGGTGATAGGAGGAAGAAAGAGACCACCAGACTGGAAGAACTTCTTAAAGGATCACTAATCAAGTCACCTGGGAGACAAGATGTAAGTAAAAGCTTAACAAAATGAGTTCTTTCTTCCTTTCTAAAGATGGCCAGCCTGGGAAACAAATTTTGGAATTACTGAAATCACTTGCCAGAGATCTATAGCAGTCATTGGAATGGAACCCACAGAAAGTTATATTACAGCTAAAAGCAATAGAACAGAGAATAGCTTATCACTTTGTTACTTACAATATCCAACTGAGGGGAATAAAAACACCCTCCTCCCAAAAAAACCCACTCCCAAATAGAACAGCTTCCCTGACTCTTTCCATCTTGTAATTTGAGGAGGATCATCCTACTTACCTAGTCATCTGCCCGTGATACTGCCAGTGATTACATTTCTCATGCTGCTTATGGGGGAACTCCATCTGCCCAAATATGAATTAGAAGAATTCTCTGTTTGCCTCCCTCTACACCTCATTTCTTCTTCTTTCCTTCTTAATCACAGGTAGGTCAAGAGGAGGAAAGGAAATACTGTTTTTAAAGAATGTTTTTGTTTCCTTTCTTGGACTCTGAATGTTCCTAGTGCAAAGATTCCCTTACAAATGTAGGCTTTTGGTTTGAGTTTTGGAAATAACCCAGCTTATCCCCATAAACTTTGATACTGATTTTAATTAGACTCCTTTTGGTATAAAGCTGGTGTGTCTGTGTGTGTATCTATAAGAAAGGTGATTTCTGCTCCAGGCTTTATATGCTCCTCTTATGTTTAACTCAGCTGCAAAAACATAAAGCCCTTGCTCTTCAGGTTGTCTCACCTGACAGCTCTATCATTTCTGGGTGTTTCTTTTCAAACATTCAGAATTATTCAGGAAAAGACCTGTGTCCCCACCTTAATAACTGCTGCTCTTTCATATTTCTAGGATAGAAAACAGAAATTTCACCAAATGTCTTTAGATTTGCACACGCTGGATACGCAGGCCACTCGTGTAAATCTATAAAGAATGGACATATGGTCTCCTTTGGGGGGCTGTTTATTACATAAATATGTTTACACCAAGATATAGACTCACAGGAATGCCCCTCTCTGTATCCAGCTGTAGCAGAGAGTAGTCTAAGGAAGACATAGGGTCACTAGCTGCAAGTCAATCTCAAGGCACCTTTTTTTCAACCATGCACTTCTGTGTTCTGTGGGTTAGCAAAGGTCAGGAAGACTTGCTCCAGCGTTATCTGACTGACAGAATAGTCTTCTAAATTGAATTCCTCTTTAGATTCCTCCAAAATGCCAAACACCTTTAACAGCAACAACAAAAAGTGCAGTTACCCAAACTGTGGTCCCCTCCAACCCCCAACCCAGGTGAGCCTCTCCACTTTCTCCAACTGCTGCCACGTTAATGTTAGAAGACAAAAGGTACAAAATGGGGAGATGAGACAATAGACAAAATAGATCATTGAGAATCTGAGAGGAAGCAGGTCTCTGTCCTCATTCTCTTGATGGATATAGAAAAAAAAAGGGGGGGTGGACTTAGAGGTAGAAATCTGAAGCAATTAACTCCATGGACCATTGAAAAGTAACCCAAGGTCTCCACTCCTCCTGTACCTGCAGGCACCCATTCCACATGGCTAAATCCCAACTACTTTCCATCATTAGTGCTTTCTTAACACATCATATTAGAAGGGCACGGTTTCTACAATCACCTTTCCCCAGCTATTGTCCTTGCTGGGAATGTAGTAGTTAAGGATCCCTTGATTCTCATGTTTTAATTCACTACCTAAGAAAGGAAAGATAGGATAGATGTATAAACTTATATATTACATTTTAAATGCAAAATATTGATACATCAACTTAATTATATGTGTAACACAAGGGTAAATAGATATGGCTGATAAAAAAGGGGACATAATCCAAAAGCTCGCCTCTTCAGTATACACGACATAGTTAATTCTTTCAGCAGATTTATTACTGTTATAGTAGGTTTTGTTTGATGGAGCTGAGTATTGAGCACAGGTTTTCAGGCACAAAAAACATTATTAGCTCGCATGACCAAAGGATGAAACCTGAGCCTTCTAAAATTCTAATATTATCATAGGACATTATTCCTAAACACAGGGCTGAGGTTATGAAGAGGCAAGATTTTCACTCTGGTTGTGTAACCATGTACAGTGCGTTTCCCAGGGAGGAGAGCAGGACAAGGTCTCCTTGCTACTCTCATGATCACATGCCAGGTGAAAGAGGAAAATCATACATAAAAATCCCCAAATTCAGACTGTGTGTTCTTTCACAGGTGAGTAAGAATCCTCTGCTAGGTTGAGGGGGAACAAGTGGTAACCCTACCAAACTTAGAGTAAACAGATGTGCTTATACTTATCACTGTATATTTGCAAATTATTTCAAATTAAATTAACTGAGATTTTAAAACATTTTAGTTTTAAAATCCCAGTTAATTTAATTTTAGTTTTAAAATACATGTTTTTGAATTAGATTTCCCTCTGGATATGTGCCCTGGAGTCGGGTTGCTGGATCATAGGGTAAGTCTATTTTTAGTTTGTAAAGGAATCTCCATACTGTTTTCCATAATGGCAGTACCAAACTAAATTTCCAGCAACAGTGTAGGAGGGTTCCCTTTTCTCCACACTCTTTCCAGCACTTATCGTTCATGGACTTTTGAATGATGGCCATTCTGAGGGGTGTGAGGTGATGCTTCATTGTAGTTTTGATTTGTGTTTCTCTGATAAGTAGTAAGATTGAGCGTTTTTTCATGTGCCTACAATAGTCAAGACATGGAAACAACCTAAATGTCCACTGACAGATAACTGGATAAAGAAGTTGTGATACATATATTCAATGGAATACTACTCAGCCATAGAAAACAATAAGATAATGCCATTTGATTCAACATAGATGAACCTGGAGATCGTCATTCTAAGTGAAGTAAGCCAGAAAGAGAAAGAAAAATAATACCATATGGTATCACTTATATGTGGAATCTAAAAAAGAGACACAAATGAAATTATTTATAAAACAGAAACAGACTCACAGACATAGAAAACAAACTTGTGGTTGCCAGAGGGGATGGGAAGGGATGAATTTGGAGATGGAGATTTGCAGATACTAACTGCTATATATAAAATAGATAAACAACACATTTATACTGTATAGCACAGGGAACTATATTCAGTATCTTATAGTAACCTATAATGAAAAAGAACATGTAAATGAATATATGTATATGTATGTATGACAGACTTTATGCTGTACATCAGAAATTGACACAACATTGTAAACTGACTATACTTCAATAAAAATAGTAAATGAGATAGACTACTGTCCTTGCAAAAGATTTAAACATTTTAAAATAAAATATATGTTAATATAATCAAACTAGGAGGCCATTAGACTGAGGGGGCTCTAATTCCTTAGTAGCCTGGGTAACTAAATCAAAACTTAAGCCAGCGTAGACTGCTCTAGGAGAACACAGCTGAGTGCGAAACAATTATTTTAAATTGTTGCATTTAAATGTTTTTGTTTTGATTTTACCTAGTGTTATTTTACCAGAAGTGCCTTTCAGAGATATAATCTTCTAAACTGAAGAAATTGAATCATTTTATTTGTGATTTTTATACAAAGAATGCATGACTTAAATCTCCTGCAGATTGTATAGACTCCTTTACCCTTAGTATTTCTCATTTCTGTAACTATTAGAAGTGTATATTCCAGCTGCCCTTTGCTTGTAATATTTATTTCTTCTTTTGAAAGTCAGTCTTTATGTATAGTTACGTATCAGTTCCTTTTTGATTCTGTCATATTTAAATAGCTATTTCCTCAAAAATAATGTGAAGAAGGTCTGGGAAAAAAACCACTTTCAGCTGAAAATGTGCCTTGAACCCACGTTTCCATTAAAGCTCTTGTGTCCACAGTCCTAGAGGACAGATCTCTACTTGGTGTTTAGTGTCCGTCCCTCCTTCAAGTAGAGCAAGTTGCTAGGACAGCACACAGTAAAATGAGGTTCTATGATGACAGTTTTTCTTCATAGTGATTTAAGGACTTCATCGCAAAAATACCTGCTGAATGGGTGCATACGTGGTTTGATGAATGGACGCATAGGGTTTTAACAGACTATTAACAACACTGAGGTAATTCTACTTCCCACACGTCTGTTCCCCACATCTGCTCTAGCGCTCTACCATCCATTTCTTTTTATTTTCTGCTCTCCATTCTTACTGTGTAATCAATATGCCTGTTTTCCATTGCCTAGAAGATTAACTTCCAACTCCTCACCCTTACATGCAATGGCAACTTCCGTGATTATTTTGCTCAGCATAGCAGAGTGGAAACTAAGATGAAAAACCAGAATTATTAGAAGCCTTTCCATGTCCCTGCTTTACGTTTAGGAAAGACAGATAAGGGACTGAAAGAAACAGTTGCTGTCTGTGGCATTGTACCATATAGGCAGAGAAAGGCTCACTGAATACAGCATGAAGCAGCATTCTGCTCTTGAAAGGAGAGAAAAGCTTAGTGGTTCTTGTTTGAATTTCAATTGCATATCATGGCTGGGAGAGCAAAAGACCAGAGTGTGAGGAAAAAAAACCTTACAACTTTTCATGAGTGGTGTTATAGACTGAATTCTGTCCCCCCTGCCCCCAAATTCATATGCTGAAGTCCTAACCCCAGTTGATTGTGTTTGGACACAGGCCCTTTAGGAATGTAATTAATGATAAATGAGGTCATAAGGGTGGGACATTAGTCCACTATGACTGTTGTTTTCATAATAAAAGCAAGAGACACCAGGGATGCACACACACAGATAAAAGGCTGTCTGAGGACCCAGTGAGAAGGGGGCCATCAGCAAGCCAAGGAGAGAGGCCCCAGGAGAAACCAGACCTTCTGAAACCTTTTAACCTCAGAACTGTGAGAAAATTAATTTCCATCATTCAGGCCACCCAGTCTGTGCTATTTTATTACAGCAGCCCTAGCAGACTAATACAGATTATATGTGCTAATAGTTGAGAATTTTGCTCAAATATATGACTTTAGATATATACCATATGGATAGCTCTAGTCTACAATTGCCTTACGAGAGACTGGTAAATATTTCTGTTCCTTGTGTAAACTTCTTAGCACAACTAAACATAAAAAATTTAAAAGAACAAGCATTCCAAAAGTAATTCAGTATGGAAGAGCAATGAATGTCAGTAACTCACAAGAAACAGTTACTGGAGATACACAGCATACAGAGGTGAGTAACAGATACGATTTAAAAAAGTTCACCCAAACAACCAAATTTACCTGGGAAGACGGTTGCAATAAAAGTTTTAAAGTCCTCTAATTTATCTTCATCTGTATCAATCTTGATCTTGACTTTTAGGATATAAATGTTGCCAAACTTGTTCTTGAGATGCTGAGGGCTGCCCAGGCACATGAACTTTCCCTTTACCATAATGGCCAGCCTGGTACAAAGAGCGTCACATTCCTCCATACTAGCAAAACAAAATAATAGAATGATGTAAAGCTTAAAAAGTCTCTATTAGAACATATTCTGTAGTTCAGATATCCAGTAAAATTTTGTAACTCTCTTTGAAAGGGAAGTTGCATCTGCCCATCACCAACATCATGGCAAATGGAGTTATTTTCAAACTCAAAGTAGTAAAATAAATAAGCTACACGATATACTGTACAGCACTTGGAATATAGCTAATATTTTATAATAATAAATGGAGTATTTATAAAACTACTCAATCAGTAAGTTATACACTTGAAACTAATACAATATTGTAAATTAACCAATTATACTTTAATTTTAAAAAAAGTAGTAGAGGGCTAAATTCTCAAATGGAACAGCTCCTCAACTTCCTGCTCTCTCCTCTCAATGAGGATTCTTGGCCATTCCATTCAGTAGGATAAAGGAGGAACTCACATACTCAGGCAATTTTACTCTCCAATATTGCCAGCACCAAATAATGCCTTCCCATAGCCACTACTAATTCTTAACCAAGTCTCCTAGTGAGCCACACCTGTGAGATGTTATGATAATGACTTTGCCACTTTTACGCGTCTGTGTCACTGTGTTCCAAAGCAGGCGCCGGGCTACTGGGTCCATACCAGTTGATGGCTCGTCAAGGAAGATGACTGAGGGCTTTCCCATTAGGGCAATAGCGGTACTCAGTCTACGTTTGTTTCCTCCACTTCATAGTCAAAGGAGGAGAGAGAAAGCAGAAACAGAAATGGCTATATGTGACAGTAGTTTAATGCATAAAACATCTATTTAATACATATCCATTATTTACAGGAAAGAGTTTGCCTGTTTCCAAAATGCTGAGTCACAGGAAATAGAAGAGAGATTAAAAATACGGATTATACGTGACTCAACCTAGGCATCAGACTCAAATTCAGAGGTATAAATCAAGTCATGTTCATTTTGAATGAAGAAAGGTGACTTGTTTACAGTTTTAGCCACATCATTAGTGAGATTTATATTTTCAGTCTTGAGTTTCCTTGGGATTCTCAGATATATAAACTACATAATGACAAGGCTAATACAAAGAAATTCACATCACCCTTACTTGAGACACAAAGAACTACAGAGAAGTAGGGAGAAAGATGCTCTCTTTTGTAATTCAATGGCTACAACTGCAATAGAACCAGGACTGTGAGTCTCATCTCTGCAAGGGAAAAATGTGATACCAATTAGGTCTGCTTTATTGCTTGCATCTAAATACTGGCAGGGCATTAGGTTATTTTCCAGTCATTGCCTATGTTTGTCAGTGGACCTCTGGTTAGACTGTGGGCACTAATTCCAAAGATCAGAAACAGAGGAAGACTCCTTAATATTAGCTGCAACGAGAGCACCAGTATAATGTCTCACCTGTAAGTGTAGATAAACTTGTCCGCATGGGGTTCCAGATTCAGTGATTGCAGTAAGTTATTTATATAAGCTTTAATGTGGGTCTCAGGAATCCCCCACAACCTGGCATACATGATCAATATTTCCCGAGCAGTCATGTATTCCAGCAAGGCATCAAACTGTGGACAGTAGCCAATTTTTGATCTTACCTAAAGTAAAAGAATAACAATGGACACAAGTCATCTACATCTCACCGAGCATATAAGAAGTGTGGATAACATAGAAGGCCTGAAGTCTTCCAGCCCATGCCTCCAAGGAGGTTAGAACCAACAGTCTTTGCAAATAATTCCTTTCCTAGTGATTACAGATTCATTGCACCTGGAGGCTCTTGTCATGTATTGAAATTAAAAGTGTGCAAAAGTATGCGTCCAAGATAGATTATTATAACATGATGTTATTGCCCTAGAAAGGTCACAATCAACCTATGAAATAAGAAGAAAATAATTTTAAAATAAAAGCAATGCACCTGTTTACAGAACTATATTCCTCTGAAGAAGGGGAGTGAGATCTAAAGAGGTTACTCTACCATTGGCTTAACTTTTACTCATAAGCCTAAAGAAAGCTCTGATGGCCCTAAAAAGTAAAAGAGACCTAAATCAGTAGTGTGAAGTCTAGAGTTACTAACTGGATGAATATTTTTGAAGTTTGGTATCTTATTTTCGCTAATAACTCTCCATTAGTTTAGTCCCAAGAGATTCCAGTTCATAATCAAAGACTTACAGAAGGAGAAGCCGGACAGTGATACCTCAGTGACATCCTACGTTTTGGTAGTGGTGGAAAATGGATGCACTGTAAGTGGGATACTCCATGCTCTATTATATGCAGTGTGGCTTTGTGAGAATCATCTGAGTTGCAGGTGAGCAGAACTGGGATCCTAGCTCTTATTTCAATCATGTATTGGTCATAAAAGACATCTTAACATATTATAAAAATTATATAATATTCAGACAAAATATCTGACCAAAATGTAATTAAACTAAAAATCAACAATAAAACAATAAGTATTTAGAAACCTCTATATTTGGCAAATTTTGAAATTAATTTCTGACTATATTAATTCATGGGTTAAAAGAACTCACTTTATCTTTCAAAATACTTTGAAACTTTCGGGATGTAGTGAAAAGGCCACTTTAAACAACAGGGTAATAAATGAGTGTAAATAAATGATTAAGATGTTAACTCACGGGGAGACTGCCAAGATGGTGGAGTAGAAGGATGCAGTGATCACCCTCTCCCATGAATACAACAAAAACCACACCTACAGAGTATGGAACAATTTGCACAAATCACCTACTGAACTTTTCTTACTATTGGAACTACAAGGTAAATTCTCACAAACCAGGTAAGGAAGAAAAAGAAAAAAAGAAAAGGAAATCAGGGCAGGACCAGTCCCTCAGGGAGAGAGTGGCAAAGGAGCAAAAGCACCTTCATCCTAGGAAGACCCATCTCCCGCGGGCAGACCATCAAGAAGAAATCAGCACTTTTCTAGAAACATAAAACCGGCCATCACTAGTAGTGAAATTGAATTCGTAAGGAAAAAAAGAAAAAAGAAAAAAAGTTCCCTGCAGACTAAAGCCCAAGACTGAATGGCTTCACTGGGGAATTCTACCAAACATATAAAGAAGTAAGGGAGGAATAAATTAAGGGCTGGGATTAACAGATACACATTACTATATATAAAATATATAACAAGGACCTACTGTATAGCACAGGGAACTATATTCAATTTCTTGTAATAACATACGATAGAAAAGAATCTGAAAAGAAAAAATGTATATTACTTTGCTGTATACCTGAAACTAACATTGTAAATCAACTACACTTCAATAAAAAAAATTTACAGAAAGAAAAACTAATACCTATGCTCCTCAAACTATTACAAAAAATTGAAGAGGAAGGATACTCTCAGACTCATTCTGAGAGGCCAACATTACCCTGTTACCAAACCAGAAAATTGCAGGCCAATATCTTTGATGAATATAGATGCAAAAATCCTCAACAAAGTATTAGCAAACTGAACCCAACAATACAGAAAAAGGATCATACACCCTGGTAATGTTGGATTTATTCCAGGGTCATGAGGATGGTTCAAAATTCACAAATCAATCAATGTGATAAACCACATTTACAAATGGAAGGATAAAAAAATCACGATCATCTTAAGATGCAGAAAGAACATATGACAAAGTTCAACGTCAACTCATGATAAAAGCTCTCATTAAAGTGGGTATAGAGGACACATCTCAGACAAGACAAGGATGTCCACTCTTGGTACCTCTGTTTAAGTACAGGATGTCCTAACCACAGCAATCTGACAAGAAAAAAAAAATAGATGGCATCCAAATTTGAAAGGAAGGAGTAAAACTCTCACTGTTTGCAGATAACATAATACCATGTACAAAATCCTAAAATCTCAAACCCAAAACTATTAGAAGTAATAAATGAATTCAGCAAAGTTGCAGAATATAAAATTAATATACAGAAATCTGTTGCATTTCTATACACTAATAATGAACTATCAGAAAGAGAAAGTAAAAAATCTCATTTAAAAATCCCATCAAAAAGAATAAAATACCTAGGAATAAACTTATCTAAGGAGATGGAAGCCCTGTAGGCTGAAAACTATGAAACACTGATGAAGGAAATTGAAAATGATACAAAGGAATGGAAAGATATTCCATGCTTTTGGATTTGAATAATTAATATTGTTATCTATAGATTTAATGTAATCCCCCTATCAAAATACTCATGATATTTTTCACTGAACTAGAGCAAATAATTTTGAAACTCATATGAAACCACAGAAGACCCGGAATTGCCAAAGCACTCTTGAGATTCAAGGACAAAACTGGAGATATAACCCAGACTTCAGAATATAGTGCAGAGCTACAATAATCAAAATAGTGTGGTATTGGCACAAAAAGAGCCATATAGAACAGTGAAACAGAATAGAGAGTTCAGAAATAAACCCACCCACTTATGATCAATTAATCTACAACAAAGGAGAAAAGATGGTCTCTTCAATAAATTGTGCTGGGAAAACTGGACAGAACCATGTAAAAGAATGAAATTAGAACATTCTCTAACACTGTATACAAAAATAAACTTAAAATGGATTAAAGAGCTAAATGTAAGATTTGAAACCATAAAACTCTTAGAGGAGAACACAGGCAGAACACTCAGACACAAATTATAGCAATAAATGAAAGCAAAAATAAACAAATGGAACCTAATTAAACTTAAAAGCACGGAAACCTTTGATAACATGAAAATACAGCCCATGGAATAGGAAGAAATATTTGCAAATGATGCAACTGACAAGGGGTTAATATCTAAAATATACAAACAAACATACAAATCTAATCTAAGACAGCCACTCCTGCATTCTTTTTATTACGATTTGCATGGAATATCTTTTTCCATCTCTTTACTTTCAGCCAGTGAGTATTCTCAAATCTAAATTGAGGTTCTTGTAAATAGCATATAGTTGGATCTTGGTTATTCATCCACCAGCCTCTGTGGTTTTTTTTTCCCCTCCTGGGAGTGGGGGCACTTTAGTCCATTTAGATTTATTGATAGGGAAGGATTAACTATTACCATTTTGTTCATTGTTTTCTTTATCTTATAGCTCTTTTGTCCCTCTTTTTCTCTCCTTGTCTTCTTTGTGTTTCCTTAGTTTTTATTTTTTGTTTTGACAGGTTTGATTCCTTTCTCCTTTTCTTTTGTGAAACGTCCATACATATTTTCTTTGTGGTCACCAAGAGGCTTTTTAAAACTAGTAACAACTTAAGTTCATTAGCAAAATTCTCTGCTTTTACCTCTTTTTCCTCCACTTTATATGCTATTGATGTCACAATTTACATTTTTATATTATCTATTAACATAACTTAATTATAGTAGTTTAAATACTCCTGTCTCTTGACTTTTATAGTAGAATTAAAAGCAATTTGGCCACCACTGATGCAACAATTCTGTTTTTGTAATGAGTTTTATACTTTATTAAGCTTTTGTGTTGCTGTTTAGTGCCCTTTTATTTAACTTGAAGAACTCCCTTTAGCATTTCTTGTAAAATAGATCTAGTGGTGATAAACTACCTCAGTTTTGTTTGAGAAAATCTTTTATCTCCTCTTCATTCTTGAAGTAAAGGTTTGCTGAAAGTTTTTGTCTTTCAGCACTTTGAATATATCATCCCACTAATTCTGGCCTACAAAGTCTCTGCTGAAAAATCCACTGATAGTTTATGGGGGTTATCTTGTACCTAACATGTCACTTTTCTCTTGCTGCTTTTAAAATTCACTCTGTCTTTAATTTTTTATAACTCGATGATATGTATGTATCTCAGTGTCGGTTTCTTTGGATTCATCTTGTTCATTGTTTTTTTGGTCCTCCTAGATCCGATATCTATGTCCTTCCCCATTTTTGAGTTTTTTTCATCCATTATTTCTTTGAATAAGCTTTCTTATCCTTTCTTTCTCTCTCCTTCTCTTCAGACTTATATAATGCACATATTTATCCACTTAACAGCATCCGTAGCTTCCTTATGCTATTGTCACTCTTTTTCATTCTTTTTTCTTTTTGCTGTTCTCATGAGATGATTTCCACTGGTCTGTCTTTTGAGTTTGCTTATCCTGTATTCTGCTTGATCTAGTTCACTGTTGAACCCTTCTGATGAATTTTTCAATTCAGTTATTAGGTTCTTCAAATCTATGATTTCTGTTTGGTACTTATAAGTATTTTCTCTCTGTTAAAATTCTCGCTTTGTTCATGCACTGCTCTCATAAACTTGCTTAGCATAGTTATGATTGTTGTTTTGAATTCCCAGTCAGCTGAATCACTTATCTCTATTTATTAAGGTCCTTTTCTAGAGATTTATCTTGCTTTTTTGTTTGGAACATATTTCACTGACTCTTTATTTTCCCTGACTCCCTATATTGGTTTCTGCGCATTAGACCAAACAACCAATTCTCCTAGTCTAGGCAGACTGGACTCATGTGGAAGATAATATCACCAATCAACCTGGCCAAGGATTCTCAGATCCTCTTAAACCTTTATGCTTGTCCAAATCACTGTCTGTGTTAGTGGCCTTAGGAGATTAAGGTGTAACAAGTCCTGTGAGTGCCTTAAATCCCAGAGGACTACCAGTTGCTTTCCCCATCATCTCCCAGATGCAGGCTAATTTGAAGTCCAATATTTGGGAAGCAGCTAGGAATGCTGAGGCTCTAGGTATGCAGTCTATAGACCTTTCCAGCAAAACTGAGAGCTGGGTGTATTTGTCTTCTTGCTTCGTACTGAACCATGGGCAATAATCACTGGAAGTGCTTGTGCACTTGCTAAAACTGCCCTTCTGTTCTCTGCATTCTTGTGGAATTCATAAATGCCACATCTTGTCAGCCCTCAGAGCTAGATGATTTGGGAACCAGTCTCTCGGGTGGTAGGCCTAAAAGTTGAGGAGCTAGATATGTGGTCTGAACTCTTTAATCCTCAGGAAGAAGCTGGGAGTTGGGGGTTCTATCCTGCTTGTAAGGCATAGTTTTGTGTGTGTGTAGGGGGGTGGTTTATGATGCAGCTATTTCTCAGCTTATCCTATGCATTTTGATGTGCATATTTTCTCAGTTGTGTGATGTGTGAGAGTCTCCCAACTAATTTCGAGATTTATCTCAGAGGGAATTGATCCCTGTGTAACTGTTTATTTTTGTGCATCCATGGAAGGAGGGAAAGTCACGATCCTCCTATGCTACCATGTTGCTCTCCAATGTTTCAAAGAAAACTAAAGACACTCTTGTCTTAAGTTCTCATGGTAAGGCTTCTCTAACTGCCTCACCATCTCTCCTCAAAAATTTCTCTCTCTCTCTAGAATCCACTGGCTGAGTCAACAGTTTCGTATCAGTGCCTACCATGATTCATATTTATCATCTCCCACCACTTGCCTCTTACTTTCAACCACAAATCATCATGCTTCTCACATCTCAGAAAGTAATAGTGTCTTACCTTCAGGATATTTTTGGTGATGCTAAAGTGCTCAATGAACACATCCCCAGAGGTCGCAACTTCCTCTCCAGTCAAAATTTCAAAGGTAGTAGTTTTTCCGGCTCCGTTTAATCCAAGCAACCCAAAGCACTCCTCGTTTCGGATTGCAACAGAGATATTTCTCACAGCAAAAATGGCTGGCATTCCAAAATATATCTTTAAAAATACAGAAAACACAATATAGTAAAGAATAGTTATAGGTCACATAAAAAACACTTCAGACTACTATGGACTACCTCAGACAATTTCACAAGAACTCTTCTATTCTATTGGGAGAATACACATAGATCCCAAAGAACCACAGTGAGCCCTTGACACCAATGACCCACTCCTGAATAGAAGTGAAACCATCATAAGTTGGTCATTGAGTAATGTTACCTTTGTGAGTTCCTTAATAAGCACTGTAGAATTCAGTGACTCCTGAGCGTGATTCAGGATTTTATTTCTCTCATTTTGTACATCTTCGTCTTCAGATTCTCCAGATAATTCCATGGACACTTTATCCTATATTTTGAAAAGAAGACTCATACAGATGGATGCCCTTTAGACAGCGGGTTGGCTTCAGGGAGGCTAAACTGGGAGATAATCTCAAAGTTGTCAAACCTCAGGGAGGTTTGAGTCAGTCCCAGATGACTTACTGCATATCACCTCAGTTCTCATGTATACATTTATTCCCTACTTCCAAAGTTTAAAAACTATACTCCTAGCTATGAACAAGTAGCATTTTCTTATCAAAATGGGCAACTTAACAAAGACTACAACTACAAAACTATCAATCATAACCAAAGTCATCTTTAATAATAATATATATTTCGTAAGATATCAAAAGAGTTGAGCGTAGGGAAAGCTTAACACATTTCTGAGAAGAAGAATGGAGTCTAAGGACGGATTTACATAAGAAATGTCTAAGGTAAATTTAAATAAAATAAAAGCTCATCAGGAGACTTACAATGAGGAAGAAAAAAGAGGGGTATAGGGCATCCCACATAGTGGAAAGAGCATGAAAGAATATAACTTGTATATCATTTTTTTAAACTTTAAACTTTTTATTTTGAAATAATTTTGATTAACAGAAGAGTTATAAAGACAGGACAGTTTCAGTATATATTTTAGCCTTCTCCTAATGACATAATTATGATACATTGATCAAAACAGACAGATTAACATTGGTTCAATTCTATTAACTACACATCTTACTGAAGTTTACCTTCAATATCATTTTAATTTAAACTATTTAAGCATCACATCTATACAGACAAGGACATAAATCATAAATCCGTATCTTAATTATTTTTGGTATAACTAGCCCTGATAAAGAAAGCAGAATATTATCCCCAACTGTAACTAGAATTCTGACTTATAATTCCATATATATTATCATTTCTTAGTTTTGCCTGTTTTAAACATTACATAAATGAAATTCTACTTCACATATTATTTTGTGTCTGGCTTCTTTGGGCCAATTTATATTTGTGAGATTATTCCATGCTGCTGCATGATTTATAGGCTATTCCTTTTGTAAAGTGTTTCTCTTGTAGGCAGCATATAGATGGGTCTTTAAAAAAATCCAGTCATCCACTTTATGTCTTTTGATTGGAACATTTATTCTATTTACATTTAAAGTGATTATGGATAGGTATGTACTTATTGCCATTTTGTTTATTGTTTTCTGGGTTTTTGGAGTTCTTCTCTTGATTTTTATTGTTCTCTTGTCTTCTTTCCTTGTAATCTGGTGACTTTCTTTAATGCTACGTTTATATTTCTTTCTCTTAATTTTTGTGTATCTATTACAGATTTTCAGTTTGTGCTTACCATGATGTTCATATACAACAACCAATGTGTATAGCAGTCTGTTTTAAGCTGATGATCACTTAAGGACAAATGCATTTTAAAAGTACTACATTTTTACTCACCCCCCTCACCTTTTATATTTTTGATATCACATTTTGCATCTTTTTATTTTGTGTTTAGCTTAACTAATTATTTTAGATACAGATTAATTTACTACTTCTGTCTTTTAACATTCATACTAATGTTATAGCTGGTTGATCCACTACCTTTACTGTATGTTTGCCTTTACCAGGGAGATTTTTTTCTTTTCTAACTTTATTGTGTCTAGTCACAGCCTTTTCTGTTTAAAGAAGTCCTTTTAATGTTTCTTGTAAGGCCAGTTTAGTGGTAATGAAATTCTTTAGCTTTTGCTTGTGTGGGAAATTCTCTCTCTCCTTAAATTCAGAATGAATCCTTGCGAGTAGAGTAGAGTAGAGTAGAGTAGAGTAGAGTATGTAGAGTATTCTTTGTTGTTTTTTCCCTTTCAGTACTCTGAATATATTATGCCAGTACGTTGTGGCCTTGAAGATTCTGCTGAAAAATCAGGTGATAGTCTTATGGTGGTTCCCTTGTATGTAACTAGTTATTTTTTTTCTTGCTGATTTTAAGATTCTCTCTTTATCTTTAATTTGTTATTTTAATTAAAATGTGTTTTGGTATGTGTCTCTTTGGGTTCATCTTGTTTGGGACTCTGTGATTTCTAGATTTGGATGTCTGTTTCCTTCTCCAGGTGAGGAAAGTTTCAGCCATTATTTCTTCAAATAAGGTTTCTGCCCCAAATTATCCTTTTGGGACCCCTATAATGCATATGCATATCTTAATGCTTTCTCAAGGGTCCCTTAAGCATCGTTAAATTTCTTTTTGTTGTTCCAATTGGGTGATTTCTACTACCCTGTCTTCTATTGGTCTGCCTTTATTACTATAGTTAAAAAAACACCTATGTATGGTAGCATAAGTCCACCATGTTGGTTCTTAAGATTTCCCTGGAGATTCTTGACACTGTGCATTTTCATGTAAATTTTAGAATCACTTTGCATTTCTGTGTAAACTTTAGGATTAGCTGATGATTCTACACACACAGACACACACACACACACACAAATATCCACTAGAATTTTGATTGGGGTTGCACTGAATCTTTAGATCAATTTGGGAAATATTGTCATCTTCCCATGATTGGGTTTTCTGAAGCAAGAACATTGTATATTCCTTCATTTATATGTTTTCTTTAATTTCTCAATAGTTTTTAAAAATAATTTTCCATGTAAAGGTCTTATACAATAACTTCTGTTAGGGTTATTCCTAGGTAGTTTTTGTTTTTATGCTACTTAAATAACATCATTTAAATGTTTTATGCTATTCAAATTACATTATTTTATATTTCACTTTTTGCTGCTGGCTTGTATATAGACATACAACTAATTTTTCTATACAAACTTTTCATTAACAATAGAACAGAGACAAGAAATTTGTATTTTAAGAAACCATCCAGGAGATTATGACAAATGCCAAAATTTGAGAACAACTGCTGTAGAGAGTTACTATTAAGTATGCATTCTTCAGGCCAGGAGAATCAGTATTAAATGAGAGTTTATTAGAACTATCCAGGGGCAAAATCAGAGTGAATGAGCAATTTTGGGAAGACATGGTTCTCTGATACAGAAGATACTCAAGGGAAAGCTTTCTATTGTAATCAAAGTATTTAAAAATACCATGTCCTGACTGGTAGAGGCCATAATGTTTAGAAACCACAAAATTCAAATTATGATGAGATCTCTGATTTACATGGATCCCAAATAACATGAATTGATTTATATTCCTGTATCTCAGTAATGAAGTTAGGCATGTATAGAGGTATGCTTTTAGTCTTAGAGACATCTCTAAGTCTCCTACCCAGCTACTCACCTTATTAAATTTCTTGTAAGTACGAAAGAAAATATAGCGAAGCACAAATGTTCTTACTCTCCATGAGGTGGTTTCCAAAAGGAAAATCAAGAAGAGGAAAAGAAATCCTGTGACGGCCATTGCAATTACAAATCTTCCAATTCCATCTTCTTCCAAACTATATACACTACGCTCAGCTGCTGATGACAAAAACAACACAAAAGACACAGGCTTACTTAAAAAAATAAACCCAGTGAGCAAACTCTAAGAAATCAACAAACAGAACCAAATGGAATGGTTATCAAATAAGCAAAAAAATTAATATATTTAAAGGTATATTTAATAAATTTGTATGTCATGCAAAATATCTTCAAAATCTATTAGGCAAAAAGCTTTCATTCTATGAGTTTTGTCTTGCTGTAGTTCTAGGCATCCATTACCAACATATATCAGATGGTCAGAACCATTGGGTGAATTTGGCCTCGTAATACTAATCAGAGTACTGGGTGGTAGCAGAGGCTCTCCTGGCCCCCAAATATTTTTTTTCTCTGAAAGTATTTCATATAGTGGTTCTGAAACTGGAGCAGGAGCAGAAGAATCATCTGATGATGATTACACATAAAACACTTTTACCTGTAAGGGAACACTAACATTTAAACTAAGTTGTAATTACCCAAGAGCTGGTACTTTTCCAATCATTTATTAGAAAAATTTAATAGTTACAAGATTCTGAATTCATGATATGGAGAACAGCACGCTCATGGAGGAGGTGAAGATAAGCAAATTTCTTTTTTTTTTTTGCTCTTAAAAAACTTTGTATTAAAACATTATATACATATATAGAAATCTGCCTAAGTGTAAGACTAGTGAATTTTTACAAACTGAAAATATTTACATAACCAGCAATATTTTTCATTCAGTTTTAAAATTTAACTGCATTATATTCTTTTTCTTTTTCTATTTCTTTTCTTTTTCTTTCTTCCTTTCTTCCTTTCTTTCTTCTTTCTTTCTCTTTCTTTCTTTCTTCCTTTCTTCCTTTCCTTTCTTTCCTTTCTTCCTTTCTTCCTTCCTCTTTTTTTTCCTTTCCTTTCTTCCTTCCTTCCTTTCTTTTTTTCTTTCTTTCCTTCTTTCTTTCTTCTTTTCCTTCCTTCCTACCTTCCTTCAAGTGTATTACTGTATGTACCTTTTATAGTGATGACCCGAAGCATTACATTGTGCATACATAACTTACCACAGTCACGGTGTCTTCCTTTTATCTGTTTGAGTGAAGTGAAAAAACTTTTCCATGATTTGTACCTCTTTAACCTCCCCATTTATTACTGTCTTAAATATTCCCACTACATACATTAAGAATATTTTCAGACAATGTTATCACTTTTCTTTTAACCACCGAACTCAAGAAAACTCAGGAGGAGAAAGTATACAGTATTCACCCATTTTCTTACTCTTCCCAGTGTTCTTTCTTCTTCAATCATTTAATTTATGTTTATAGAATCTATACAGCCTATTCTTTTAGGACTTCTACAGGTGACAAACTGCTGTAGATTTCCTTCATCTGAAAATGTCTTGATTTCCCCTTCATTCTTAGAAGATATTTCCTATGTATATAGAATTTTGAGTTGACAGGTTTTTTTATTTCAGCACTTAAAAATAATGTGCCACTTCCTCTGGTCTTCTTGGTTTCTGATTTTAAAAAAATCTTCTGTAAACTAGGGAATTGTTTTGTCCTTATGGATGAGGTGTCACTTTTCTAAAGCTGCTTTCAAGATGTTCTCATCTTTAGTTTTCAAAGCTTGATTATATCTTGGTATGGATTTATTTGGTTTTAACATATTTAGAATTTACTAAGTTTCTTGAATCTGTGGGTTTATATATTTTATGCTTATTTTTTATTAATTCTTTATAAAATTGAGATATAATTGACATATAGCATTAGTTTTAGGTATACAACATAATAACTTGATACTTCTGTATGCTGAGACATGATTCACTACAATCTAGTTAACATCCATCACTATACGTAGTTACGTGTTTTTCTTGTAATAGGAACTTTTAATACTGTCTTATCAACTTTCAATTATATGATACGGTATGATTAACTGTTGTTACCATGCTGTGAATCATTACATCCCAATGATTTTATTTTATGACTGGAAGTTTGTGCCTTTTGATTCCTTTCACCCATTTCACCCAAGCCACTCCCCAGTCATCAATCTGTTATCTATGAGTTCTTTTTTTTTAAAGAGTCCACCTGTTAAGTGAGATAATATGGTATTGGTCTTTGTCTGACTTAATTATTTAGCATAATGCTTTCAAGGTATATCCATGTTGTTACAAATGGCAAGACTTCCTCCTGTTTAATGGCTGAATAATATTCCATCATATACATACCATATTTTCTTTATCCATTCACTCATAGAGATCACTTCTCATGAGAAATTGCACTATGCATATAAGCTTTGAATCTTAGCTCTAACTCATTTAAGTCATGTGACAGAGTAAGTTATTCAGTTTTGTGTAAGCTTTAGTTTCCTCAAGGTGAGGATAACAACACATAATGAGTTATTATGAAAATTCAAAATAATATAGGTAGAGCTATTCACATGCAATAAGTAATTGACTAGTAGTAATTCTGATGAGCCTTGGGGAGCTCCAGATACTCACCTTTACTACAATCTATAGAGTAAGGAATATTTTTATTTGAGGAACATATCTTCTTTCTCTCTTCCATATCATAATATTTGCTGATGCTCATCCCCAAATTATGTATGGGTAGCAACATCAATGAATTAAGCAGGGGGCTTCTAGAAGCAGCTTTCTTGTCTGTGATTTAAAAGATGATAACATTATCATGCTTTGTATTATATGAGCTGACCCTGGGAAATAAAAGTTCCCCAAGTTGATCAAACTATGAAAAAATTACAAAGTCATAATATCTTCATAAAACTCTTGCTACTAAAATATCTTGTAGTATAGTTTGTGTTGATAATTATGGAATTGGAAGATCTTTTGGGGAAAGTTGGTGTCCATATAATTTGTCTTCCTTTCACCTGGTGTGAATAGGAAACCCATACTGATTATTCTTCATATTTCTTATTCTGTATGATCAATAAAGAAACAAAGACATAATAGGAAATTCAACCTAGGAGTCAACAGTGGGAAAGAGCTAAGGAACATTTTATCAGTTGAAAGTTGAGATTTCTCTAAATATTAAATTAATGTGTATAATAGTTCATGAATATACATGAGGGAATATAAAACATGATTATGGGTTAAGGTATTAAGACTTCAAGACTGAGTTCAGGTAATTGGGAATAAAAATAAAATATGTCTCAGCAAAAAATTATTTATCAGATACTGACAAAAGAGAGGTGACCAGCAAAGAATGATAGGGGACAAGTGAGGTTCCCTAGATATTAATTTTCTAAGTGATGAAGTCATACCAAGTATGCCCCAAAGGGGATAACATTTGGTATAGATACACATAATCTGGTAGCAGAAAGAATAATTCTGGACATATAGTTGTTCAGATAACTTTTTTTATTGTGCTAAAATATAAATATTATTATTATAACTACTTGTAAGTATACAATTCAGTGGCGACAAATGTATTCACAGTATAGTGTAATTATCACCACTATCTTTAGACAAAACTTTTTCATTTTCCCCAAGAAAAACTCTGTGCCCACTAAATATGACTCTCCCTACTTTCCCACCCCTAGGCCCTGGTAACCTTTACTCTACTTCTGTCTTTATGAATTCCTACTCTAGATACCTCATAGAAGTGGAAATATATAATATTTGTCTTTCTGTGTTTGCTTATTTCACTTAGCATGTCTTCCAGTTCCATCCATGATGTGGCATATATAAAAATTTTTATTCACTTCATAGCTGAATGAGTAACATTTCATTATATGGATATACTGTATTTGTTTACCTATTCACTTTTTGGTAGATACTTAGATTGCTTCCACTTTTAGCTATTGTGAATAATGCTACTATGAACATTGGTATATAAATATTTTTTCTGGTCCTTGATTTAAAAATGTTTGGATATATACCTAGGAGTGAAATTTCTGAGTCATATGGTGGATCCATGTTTGACCTTTTGGAAAACTGCCAAACTCTTTTCCATGGTCGCATCACCATTTTCTTTTCCCATCAGCAATGTACAGGGTTTCTAATTTCTCCACATTCTTGGCAAAATATGTTATTTCACTTTTAAAAATAATAACCATCATAATGGGCATGACGTGATATCTCATTGTTTTGATTTGCATTTTCCTAGTGGCTAATGATGCTGAGCACCTTTTCATGTGCTTGTTGGCCATTTATACATCTTCTTCAGAAAAATGTTATGTTTAAATTCTTTGCACATTTTTTATTTGGAATAATTGTCTTTTTCTTGTTGAATCATGAATACACTGTACTTTTAGATACTAGACCTTTGTTAGATATATGATTTTCAAATATTTCCTTCATTCGGTTGATTTCTTCTTGCTTTGTTAATGTCCTTTGATATACAAAAGTTTTACATTTTGATGCTATCCAGTTTATATATCTTTTCTTTTGCTGCTTGTTCTTTCAGTGTCATGTCTAAGAATCCATTGCCAAATTCAAGGTCATTAAGATTTACTGTTTTCTTGCAAAAGTTTTATGGTTTCAGCACTTATATTTAGGTCATTGGTACATGTTGAGTTAATTTTTGTATATGGTATGAGGTAGGATCCAGCTTTCACTCTTTTGGATGTGACTATTTAGTTTTCTCAGTGTCATTTGTTGAAAAAACTATCCTTTCTTCCAATGAATGGTCTTGACACCTTTGTTGAAAAATCAACTTACTACATACGTAAACATTTAGTTAGGGCTCTCTATTCTATTTATTGTTTTATAGATGTGTCCTTATGCCAGTACCATACTGTTTTAATTATTGTAACTATGTAGTAAGTTTTGAGGTCAAAAAGTATGAGACCTCCAACTTTCTTTTTCTTTTTCTAGTTTTGGTCACTCTGTGCCAATTGCAATTCTGTATGATTTGAGGATTGGCTTTTCCATTTCTGTAAAAATACATGTTGGAATTTTATAGAGATTATGTTGAATCTGTAGACTGCTTTAGGTAGTATTATCTGAACATTGTTAAGTCTTCTAATCCATGAACACAGATGTCTTTCCATGTATTTAGGTTCTGTTTAATGTCTTCCAGCAGCGTTTTGCAGTTTTTAGCACAAGTCTTTGATCTCCTTGGTTGGAATTTTTCCTAAATATTTCATTATTTTATATGCTTTATAAATGGAGTTTCTTTTCTTAAAATTCATTCTCAAATTGTTTATTGCTGGTATACAGAAACACAACTGATTTTTGTGTGTTAATCCTGTAACCTGAAATTTTGCTAATTTTTTCATTAACTACAGTAATCTTCTTTAGGATTCTTTGGGGTTTAGAATTCTTGATTGACAGGTTTTAAATTTTTTTACTGTCTTCTGGTCTTCATGGTTTTTAATGTGATATCCACTATTAATTTTATCAAGAAATTTTAGTACTTGGTTAGTTGATTCTGTCTTGATGTTTACAAGATCTTCCTTTTGAATTTCTACAGTTTTATTATAACATGTCTGCATGAGGATCTCTGAATTCATCCTTCACTGAGCTTCTTGGATTTGTAGATTCACATCTTTCATCAAAGTTGGGACTATTGTTTCTTGAAATATTCTTTCTTCCTTCTTTTCTCTCTCTTATCCTTTTGGGACTCTATAATGTGTGTACTGGTCTGTTTGATGGTGTCCCATGGGCCCCTTAAGCTATGTTCACTTTTCTTCACTACTTTTTTTGTCTGCTCCTCAGAATCAATACTATCAATTATCCTGTACCTAAATTCACTTGTGCACACTTAAATCTATTTTGAATCCCTCCAGTGAATTTTTTCATTTCAGCTATTGTACTTTTAATTTCTGTTTAGTTATTTTAAAAAACTTTTATCTCTTTATTGTTCATCTCTATTCTGTGGGACATTATTCTCATGGTAACCTTTAGGTTGTTTTTGTGTGTGCACATTATTTTCCTTAGGCCTTCAAGTATATTCAAGACAGAAGTTTTAAAGTCTTCGGGCTTTCTGAGGGACAGTTTATGTTAATTTTGATTCTTTGAATGGGCAATATTTTTCTGTTTCTTTGTATACCTTGTGAGCTTTCTTGAAAATTGGATATTGGAATATTATAACATGCTAACTTTGGAATACAGGTTCTCCACCTTCTCTAGGGTTTTCTATTATTTGCTAACATTTTTATTGTTGAAGGCTGTAGTACTCAGTGTGTCTAATAACCTTCTCAAATACTTTTGCTGAGATTTTATTCCTTGACATGAGTGGTCTCTGTTCCTAGGTTT